CGGGCCATGTGTTTGACACATGGGACATAAACCAAAGGAATAGACTTAGAAAGGAAAAAAAAAACAAAAAAAACAAACAAAAAAACGCTGAAACAGTGATGAGGCTGCCCACAATGTACTACTGTGTAGTGAATTATGCCAATACAATGTGAATCATATTACTGTTGTTCTAACAAAAGGCACAGAATGCGGTTTTCTTTTGCAGCTATTCCAAGACGTGTGTTTGATGTTCAGTTCTTTAGTTTTGCACTGACTGGTGTTCATTAATCTCTAATAGACTTGCTTATGTAGTTTCTGACACCGTATGACAGCATTATCAAAACTAAAAGGACAAAAGTGCAGACAAGACTTAGATGTCAAGAAAGGTACTACTGTTTTTAGCTATGCTAACGTTGCTATGTTGTGTGTGTTAAAGGGCTCATATGTAGTAGGTAAAAGCTGCTAAAGTTTCAAAGCCTTCTATTCACTCTCAAATCCATCCACACAGTCTATATGTGGCAACTAACTGCAAAAATGGTCGGTTTCATTGTTTGTGATGATAAGAAAACCTATTACTATTAGATATAGCTACCTTTTAGCCTACATCATTGCAGCCACGTCCATTCATGCTAAAGTCATAAAGAGTGTTTCAGCCTGGACAGCTCCCTGAATGAGTCACAATACAGGGGAACCAATCAGAACAGAGGCTATTTACATATATCTGTCTTAAAACATAGTAACAAAAGCAGCCCGTTTAACTGCAAGGGATAAAGAGAGACTGGAAAATGGTCACGTAAACATTATAGCGGAGGAAAAAATAAAATACTAATATTACACAACGCAGCATTAATTTCAGCCTCACTGTTTTGACAGGATTGAAAATTTTGACCCATTTTTCTGTTTTTTGCTCGTCATCGTCTTCTCACTGCAATACCTAGCATGCATTAGGCTACATCATACCCCACAGCGACAAAGGAATGCACTAATGTGGAAGCTGCATTAATGTTAGCTATATGAATTCTTTCTGCATTAGCTTAAAAAAAGCCTGCACTGCTTTTAGTTCCTCCCACCTTCAAGAGACATCATCAGAAGGGGGCTTTCCTAGACTTTAAACCTGAAAATCTCAACCTCTGCACTACTATGGCACCACCGTAGGATGTTCGATGACATATTTACAATGTTTACAGCACGTTTCTCATTTCGGCCGAAGTGCCTCTTTAACACAGCAGTGATGATTTAGGCATGCAGTTTGCACAAGGCTAAATGGAAAGCTTATGATACTACGTAGCATTATAGCTCCAGTGAAAAACTAAAGAAGCAAACTTCACACATCCAGCATGTTTTGGCTGATAAGCTGAATTATCAGAGTTTTCAACAAACGACTCCTTTAAAGGAAAGAACACTGATTGCGCACCTGATGCCGCAGGCCAGCTGGTACGGGCTGGTGATCCAGGAACGAGCCTCCACTTTCTGTCCATCAGGTAGCTGGACTGAAATGGGCTGGCTGCTTGCTGCCTGCTTGGCTAGGATGGCATCACTCTCCTTCTTCAGTCTGTCGTACAGCTCCAAGCGCTCAGAGATGTAGCTGGGCCATGGGTTCAGCTGCGGCAGGGGAAGATGTGCGTTAGCATGTAGCTAAAACGATCGGCCGCTGGAGCTACACTGACTCCACTGGATACTAGGAGCCTGCATACTCAGCAGAGCCCTCATCATGCACAACAACACTGAACAGTAGCTTTTTTAAAAGGAGGAGGATTTATTAGTGCAGTTGTACAATGTTGTACAGGAACATGTATGAACATATCGCTGATGTCGGAACAAAATCTCATACCTCCAAAATGATAACTTTACAGGAGAAGGAAAAAACATTCTTTACTTTTAATGTAAGTCAATGGAACCAGAGCTTTTTCCAAGTAATTTTGGGACATTTCTTTTGGTCCATTTATTGAAATTTACACACAATGTAAAGGGCAACAGGCATTTTCAAATTGTGTCAAAAACTGAAAAATTTAAGTGAGGAGGGACTGGAGGGTCTTAGGCCTCCCATATGAGACAACACAACTGAACTTGGGTGGTGGTGGGGGGTGGAAGGGGTCCCTTGTTCTTTCCTTGAAATTTTTTGGACAAAATAATTCCCTTTATGAGAGCTGATCAGCCTCTTTTTTACATTTTCATCATGCTCAACATCAGTTTTCTACCCTACACTGCAAAAAATGGTATCTTGTCAAGTAAAATGATCTTCCTAGTCGATAAATCCAATATTTCTCCCGTTGAGATTGTTGTGAGCTTATTTTAGGATTATTTACCTCATTCCCCAACATTTTTTACTTGTTTTAAGTAATTTTAGTAAGTAATATTATTTCACTATATTGGCAAATCATTATGCTTGTTTTAAGAAATGTGCTTGCCAGTACAGTGAGATAACTTTCCTTTAAAAATGACTTAAAACAGGTAAAAAATATATATAGAAATAAGCTAAATTATCCTATAATAAGTGCACAACCATCTCAAAATAAGAAATATTAGATATATATCGACTAGAATTAAGATAATTTCACTGGACAAGGTGCTATTTTTTGCAGTGTAGATCAAGGGATCTGATCTTTAGATGTCCAGGATGAGGACTGAGCAGCCCTGCTATCAGTGCACCGAACCAAGACCTCTGCCACAATTCAAACACTGCTACTGTTAGAACTCGAACTGTTCCCTGGTCAGTATAAATATGGACACACCAAATCTAGTCTGTAAAGAAGGCAGATGTTACTGATGCAATACCAGTGCAATCTATTTAGGCTGTGGATCACGAGCTGCTTTTTTCAGCTCTTATCATCACTGAGAGAGAAAAGGCTTTGAAGTACCTCCCCCGCTCCTCCTTCTCCTTTGGGTTTCTCCTTCTTCTTGCTCTTCTCTGCTGTACTGTGGACGTCTGGAGTTTTGGGCAGCGTGGCGTTCTACATATGTCAACATAGGAAAATATTAGAAAACAATATTCATCCTAGATGATTCAACCAGCAGCGGCTGACCACTCCCAGCAATATTTGCGTTCTTATGAGCTTAATGCATTACTGACTCACTTCACAATAGAGCTGAATGACGCAAACAAATTAATATACTGCTAAAATAGAGAAAATGACGGAAACCCTAAAGGGCCACGAGTTCACATGTTTTTTTTCCCCATGATAATGGGTTATTTTACATTTAATTTCTTGAGATCTTGTGATATTTAGGTCCTTGTCACAGTAAAACAAATGTTACTTTCTCAAGATCTTGAATTATTTATATTGTTATCACAACATAGACATTGTTTTGTCAAGGCAACATACACTGGGTTGTGATAATGGCTTTAAGATTTCAAGATCTCGAGAAAACATTTGTCATATAATAAAAACAATATAACTTGAGATCTCAAGAAAACAAATGAAAATTTAATAACTGGTTATCACAGAAAAATACGCAAATCCATTTAAAGCTTCCATAGAAAACAGTTGATTTTCTCCAATCATGTTTGGTTACACATTGCAATTATACTGACTTGTAATGTACTAAAAACACATGGATGAGCTCTTGATTTGAGTGCATTATGATTAACCCATATTATTTTTGGACCACTTGAATTCCCGTGTGTGTCATCGGGAAGGTCTGTGATTGGTCACAGCACACAATAGCGGACGTTGTGATAGGTTGAAACCTAATACCACATCGCTGATGCAAAAGCCAGTAATATACCGCGATAACAATTCTAAGCGATCTATCGCGCAGCCCTTCTCCATAATTATAACTGCGCCAACCTTTTGGGGTGCGCTTTCTTTTGGGGTTTGCTTCCTGGCCGTCTGCTGTTTGTCCTGTGAATCTTTGCTCTTCTTCTCGTGGTCTCTCTCCGTCTCCAGCTCCAGCTCGGCCTGCAGCCCCCGGCGGAGGTGAACCAGCCGGTATTTGAGTTTCTCGTTCTCGCTGCGCAGGTTCTCCAGCTCCGCGCTGCTCGCCAGCTCGGCGGCGACATGGCCGGTGATCAGGCCGTCCCGGAGACGGCCTATCTCCCTCCCTAGAGCCTCAATCTGCCGCTCCTGAGCGGCCAAACGTGCGGCCATGCGCTCCGCCATCTTTAAATCCCCTCCCGTCTGACCACCACCACCCCTCGGTCTTTATTCATTTATTTATTTAGCGACTTCTGAAAAAATGTATTTGGCGACATCTAGTGGACATTCGCGCTATGGCAGCGTGAGAATAAATAAAAAATACCACGTATGTAGCTCAAAATGTCAGGAATGTTATCTGTACTGTATTTACAAACATTACATATATATGGGATTCTTTTAAAGCTATTTTTTGTGTTTAATATTTAGACCCCGGACACCACCTGTTCCAGCTCCTTCCCTCAGGCCGGCGCTTCAGCCAGGTGAGGATCAGGACATCCAGGCTACAAAAGAGCTTCTTCCCACAAGCCATCACTCTCTTGAACAGTTAAAATATTACACAAAAACAATATTCCAGCTTCAAGCTGCACTTCATAAATACTGGTATATAGTATCTAATTCGACTCCATCCTCTGGAACTGCCGTCTCAGACCAGTGTTTATTCTAGCATCTTACCTGCCTTATTACCCCACTTATCTGACTGTTACCTCACTGAGCCCTTTCTCTGCCACTGTACGCCCTTTTAACTGCTGCTGCTCTCAGCACTTTAACCTTAGACCCATACTTTGCACAATGTAAGGTTTACAGGTATGACTGTGTGTGTGTGTTTGAGTGAGTGATGGTAGGAATGCATGTTTTATTTTTTGTTTATATTTTATATTTATTTTATTTTATTCACTACATGTAAATGTCTGTCTGGTACTGCGCACTGTGAGCTCCTGTAACCAAAACCAAATTCCCTGTATGCGTAAGCACACCTGGCCAATAAAGCTCGATTGTGATTCTGATTCTGAAATATTGTGGTGGCAGTTTTTAGTGACAATGCGAAATGTGTCCGCTAGAGGGCAGCGTTGGAGCTTTGTTCGCAGGATGCCTACGTCATCTTCAGCTGACAGCAAGCATGCACGGGAAGAAAACATTGGACTGTAATTCATAGAGCTGAAGTGGCCGCTTTATTCGGTAAGGGAACGGAAATACTCCGAAAAATATGACTGTTTACAGTAAAAAACGACCTTTACAGCTTTAAAGAAAATCTCCGGGTGCAGCAGGTTTGTCGTTGTGTGTCGTTTTGCCTGTTATTTAGCAGCAGGTTGTTTCACACAGCGAGTTAACGTCAGCCGGATAACTGAAAGTAAACAGAAGTGAAGCACTGTCCGGTCTGTGACGAGAAGAGATAAAGGACATTTGTTTTGGGTCATTTTGGGCAGTGCTTCCTTCTGGCTGAAGTGAACCAGCTTTGCTGAGAAGCCCTGCTTTGTGAAATACCCCTCAGGTGACCGTGAAATCCAGAGCAAAACAAACGTAGCCAAGCAGTTTCGTTTAGAGAGCAGAGCTGAAGTGTAGCTGTATGAACTTCCTTAACTGGCATCTATTTTGGGCCTGTATTCATGAAGCTTCTCAGAGTATGAGTGTTGGGATCTGTCAGTAAAGTCATAGAAGAGGAATTTGGTTACTGTGAGAAGCTTGGTGGATCCCTGGTCACAGTATAAGCACTTGGTCTTTGCATTGATGAATATATGTGGTTAACAGTGTGTCCTGTTGTTGTTAGGAGCTGGTGGATGTGCCCTGTCCAGGGAAGCATGGCCTCTAGCTTTGCCCCGCCGAAGCTCGCCGACTTCATTCTGACTGAGAAACTTGGTAGCGGTACCTATGCGACGGTCTACAAAGCCTACAGGAAGGTGGGTCTGATCTGAGTTTTAGCCAAGTCCAGAATTCAGCTGCACCCATTGTGGACACCAGTGTTCAGTGATGCACACAGCTTACATAAGCTCTGTAGAAAAGCATTGACCGATGAATGAAGAATGGGACACTTTAGAGCAGTCGCTCATGAGCTCTACCGGTGCCGGTCATCGGCTAGAGGGGTATAAATCCCCCCACCGTTGGAGTAACTGCATTCTCTGGAGTGATGGAGCTTCATCCAGTACCTTTGGGATGAGTTTGTGATCGAGAACCGATCATCCAACATCAGTACCTGACCTCACTAATGCTCTTGTGCCTGAATACAGTCAGATCCTCACAGCAGTGTTCTGACACCTACTGTAGCCTTTTTCAGAAGAGCAGAGGCTGATACTGCAGCAGAGGGGGATAAAACTCCCCATTAACACCCTTGATTTTAGAAGAAGCACTGGACAAGCAGGCGTCCACAAACCTTTGGACACATTGGAAAAGGTTTTAGTCACTGAATCATCTAGTTGTAGTAAGTCATAGTGGCTGGACGTTTAGACTCTCTTCTGAGACACTTCATTAGCTTAAGTGAGTGGGGGGAAAACTCTTCAGTGAGGTTGATTCACACCTATGGTGTCAGGAAGCCTATAAGGTCACCTGACACTCTGAGAAGCGGAGGTGTGAACTGGTATGAAAGAATAGAATTGTTATGACGGTGCTATAAGTAGCTGACAGATGCTGCCGTAGACCAGTTCCTCCGTAATGAAGTGCTTTGGATGAGTGTCAGAATTTCAGATCTATCTCAGAAGTTGATAAATCCAGTCATTTTGACTTGCTACTACAAGTAACGCTGTCCGTTTTCATTCTAGACTGACAGCAGAGAGGCTGTGGCCGTGAAGGTGGTCAGCAAGAAGAGTCTCAACAAGGCTTCTATGGAAAACCTGCTGACGGAGATTGAGATCCTAAAGACAGTGCGCCATCCACATATCGTGCAGCTTAAGGACTTCCAGGTAGACATAGAAATGTTTGTTAGAGCGCTTCATATCTTATTATATCCCAATAACGATAAGGGTGGGCGATATGGCAAAAAAATAGTATAACGATACACAATATTTACGCATCAGCATCAGTTCAGATTTGCCTGGTATTTTGAAATTATATTTATTTATTGCATTCCAAAAGAGCAGAATGTGTAGTTCACTTCATTTGTAACCCTGTACATGTAAATGTTATATTTATGTGTAATTATAATCCAAAACATATCCTGCCTTTCACCCAATGACAGCTGGGATAGGCTCCAGCACCCCACCGCGACCCAGAGGGATGAGCGGTTTAGAGGGTGTGTGTGTGTGTGTGTGTGTGTGTGTGTGTGTGTGTGTGTATAATCCAAAACATTTTATAAATGTGTATATAAACTGCGTTGGTATCAGCATCAACAGATTTGCGCCTGAAAAATATTGGATGTCGCCATCAGCTTAGAATTCCCATATTGTTACATCCTTAATGAAAAGTAAGCATGAAATAATTTTTTCCATCGTTTGGAAAAATTCATTCTTTAAAAAGGAGCAGGAAAAAAAAATGGTCCAACTAACGAGTAATAATCCAAAAATAAATTAATAAAATATGATAAAATATGATAATATGCCCTGCGATGGACTGGTGACCTGTCCAGGGTGTATCCTGCCTTCCGCCCAATGACAGCTGGGATAGGCTCCAACACCCCACCGCGACCCAGAAGGATAAGCGGTTTAGATGATGTATGTATGTAATATGATAATATTAAAATGAGGGGACTTCCATTCAGCTGCTTATACAGTTTAAGCAATTTCTATGCACTGACTGTTGTTACAGGCTCTGTATAATTGGTCTGTATCCGTTTTTGTACCTGTGATGTACTAAGAATAGCGTGATAATAACGTGATAAGAACAGCTAGCCGAGTTTTCCTGCTCATTCGAGTCATCAGTGCTGCGTGGGTTAAATGGGCTGAGCTGTGAAAAACTAAACCTCCCTCAGGACTGCTGTAGAGGCACCGTGCTGTATAGCAGATGTGTGCAGGAAGGAAAGGTGACTGAGGTGACATTTTTAGTGCCACAGCTATAATATTGATGGAAACTTAATGAGGGACACTACACAAAACCTGACCACTCCTGTTTACTCAGCTGTCAGTCAAAGCCTGGCTAACAAGCGTGGCCGCCTGTCTTTTAGTACACTGCCACTGTTTCCCAATATACTTTTATACTTATATAAATAAAATACTTTTAATAAAATAAAATACTTTTATAAAATACTTTTCTATATAATTTGTGTGTATTTTTAGAGTCATTTTACAAAAACATATAATAATTTTATAATATTTTCATGCTTATGCACCTGCTAGTCATTGTTTCATTTCTAAAATAATAACAACTGTAGACAAAAAATATAATTAACAGAATTAGGCTGCAGTTTGTATATGTGTATGTGTTTGCTGCAGTGGGACAGTGAGAACATCTACCTCATTCTGGAGTGGTGCTCTGGTGGGGATTTATCACGCTTTATTCGGAGCAGACGAATCTTGCCCGAGAGAGTGGCCCGCTGCTTCCTACAGCAGATAGGTAAGACTTAAAAATGTGCCTTTATTTAAAACTCGTCTGAACAACGGCAGAGTAGAACTGCTTTAAATGGAGGGTTCCCACACATCCTGGAAAACCTGGAAATACAGCAAGGTGTGAAGTGCAACTGGCATTTTCAAGTAATGTAAAAAATAAAAAACAATAAAAGTGGAAAGACAACTTTTCGCTCAGACAGCGATAATATTCCTTCTTGTACACTTTAGCATATTTTTAACCGCTAAAGCCCAGTTTGACAGTTCATATCTACTCTAGTTTGGAATGTGGACAGACATGTTGCCGGTATGTCAAAAGGCCCTGTAGAGCGAAGCTACAACAACAAACTCCAGCTTCTTGCAACATTTTAGCAGCAATGTTTTAGTTTTTAGTTGAGTTTTTGATCAAATATGATTGAGGATTGGTTGAGGAACGATCGAGGAGCAGTTGAGGATTGGTTGAGGAATAGTTGAGGAACAATTGAGGAATGGTTGAGGAACAGTTGAGGACTGCTTAAGGAATGGTTGAGTAACAGTTAAGGATTGTTTGAGGAAGAGTTGAGGATTGCTTGAGGAACAGTTGAGGATTGTGTGAGGAACAGTTGAGGAACAATTGAGGATTGCTTGAGGAATGGCTGAAGAACAGTTGAGGATTGCTTGAGGGACAGTTGAGGAACAGTTGAGGATTGCTTGAGGGACGGTTAAGGAACAGCTGAGGATTGGTTAAGGAATGGTTGAGGAACAGTTGAGGATTGCTTGAGGGACAGTTGAGGAACAGTTGAGGATTGCTTGAGAAACAGTTAAGGAACAGTTGAGAAACAGTTGAGGATTGCCTGAGGAACAGTTAAGGAACAGTTGAGAAACAGTTGAGGATTGCCTGAGGAACAGTTAAGGAACAGTTGAGAAACAGTTGAGGATTGCTTGAGGAACAGTTAAGGAACAGTTGAGAAACAGTTGAGGATTGCCTGAGGAACAGTTAAGGAACAGTTGAGAAACAGTTGAGGAATGCCTGAGGAACAGTTAAGGAACAGTTGAGAAACCGTTGAGGATTGCTTGAGGAACAGTTAAGGAACAGTTGAGAAACAGTTGAGGATTGCCTGAGGAACAGTTAAGGAACAGCTGAGAAACAGTTGAGGATTGCCTGAGGAACAGTTAAGGAACAGTTGAGAAACAGTTGAGGATTGCTTGAGGAACAGTTAAGGAACAGTGAGAAACAGTTGAGGATTGCCTGAGGAACAGTTAAGGAACAGTTGAGAAACAGTTGAGGATTGCTTGAGGAACAGTTAAGGAACAGTTGAGAAACAGTTGAGGATTGCCTGAGGAACAGTTAAGGAACACTGGAAACAGTTGAGGATTGCCTGAGGAACAGTTAAGGAACAGCTGAGAAACAGTTGAGGATTGCCTGAGGAATGATTGAGGAATGGTCCAGGAAAGTCCTGGAAAATTACTTCCGAAAAAGCATGGGAATCTAGAGTGATTCCCATTCTACAATACTTCGTCTGACCTCAAGTGTAGTCGATCAAATGAAAATGATTTTATTCATAACAGTATGTCATATGTTGTCAGAACATATGTAGAGATTATATAACACCTCAACATGATTTGAGGTCAGTATGTGATGAATTAGGTGGGTGTACATGATGCTCATTGGTGGTTGTAAGTTTCCATTACTTGTCATCTCAATTAGCTTCTGAGCTCTAGAACAAACCTAAAGAATTCCACACACTGTATGTGTCTTGGCTTGTTAACTACATTTGGGGTGAGTGGATGAACTGTGTAATTTTTTTTCCTGTTTCTTTTTTTTTCCCCAAACTATTGTTTTACACTCAGTTCACTCAGTTCTTCAGTGGTTTTCCTACATCATCTGACCGTATCTGATGGGCAATCTGTGAAACTGTGACATCCAAAGCCTTTCTGGATTCATGTTTTTGAAGTCCACTGACCATACAGTTTTAAAGCGGCCTCAAAGAGGTTTTGTCCAGCAGATGGCACTGCCCAATGAGTATTGGGCATTCTGTACAAGGCTTTCTGAAGGCAGAACATTTTTCTGGGCGATAAACACCTCGTACTAACATTTATCAGAGACAGATACTACTTTCTGGTCCACTCAGTACTGTTTTTGTGGAACTTTCTCAATGAACAGAAACCCAGATAATGAATTCTAATCACTGGGATGTGTTTTAGCCTCATTGTTTAAGCCTGTCTTACTGTACACTGTGTGTCCAGCTTGCGCTCTGAAGTTTCTCCATGAGAAGAACATCTCCCATCTGGACCTTAAACCCCAGAACATTCTGCTGAGTGGCAATGTGCTGAAACTAGCAGGTATTTACAGCATTACAGTCTTCAAACTCAGGTAGAAGTGTCATTGTATGGATATGGAAATATTGTTACTTTAACAAAAACTTATACAGCACAGATTTAAATATCATAAACCAGTGGATAAAGTTCTGGACACATTGAAAATCTAGCATATCACAATATGTTAGCATATTAGTATCATTTACACATTTATCTTGGTTCTGTGTCATTAAAAACATCGATTCCATCTGTTTTTAATGGTTTTCTGTAACCTCACCTTCTTGTTCCTCTCCCTGTGTGTAGACTTTGGCTTTGCTCAGTACATGTCTCCGTGGGACGAGAAGAGCGTTCTGAGGGGATCCCCTCTCTACATGGCTCCAGAAATGGTGTGTAGACGACAGTACGACGCCAGAGTGGACCTCTGGTCTGTAGGGGTCATCCTTTACGGTAAGAGAGGCTGAGGCCTGCTTTTTAAATCAATTTTTAAAAGCTAAGGTGTGTTATTATTCTTAATATTAAGTTAAATGAGACCAACCACACATGCTTAATGCAATAGTTTGGCCAAAAATCAATTTCTTTCCACCGTTATTCGAAATGTAGTCAACCAGCCAAAAACATTTGAACGTTTTTACTTCTTACTTTGCCGCAAACAGAAAATGGACACTTTTAAGATCACATTTGACCGACAGCCGATTTGCTCAGACTCTGAAGATGAGACGACACTAAATTCCCAAACTGTCATCACCACTGAGCAGCTTTTCAGTCAGCAGCTGTGACAGAAGAACAGCTGAACAACCTGGAATCAGCCAGAAATGAACCCAACACCATTCGCCAAACTAAACGGGCTGTAAGATGCTTTACAGACTGGCTGGAACAAAACAACATTAATACTGATCTGGCAAAAACGGACAAAACTGAGCTAAATTTGATATTGCGGCAGTTTTATGGCTCAGTCTGATTTGGTTAGACTCTGAAGATCAGACTACACGTTTGGCAAATGGTATTGGGTTCATTTCTGGCTGATTCCAGGTTTGTTTAGCTGTTCTCCTGTCACAGCTGCCGACTGAAAAGCTGCTCAGTGGTGATGACAGTTTGGGAATTTAGTGTAAGGAGCTGGAGGACGAACTGCTGGCTGTACAGCGAGTGGGCGGAGCTCGTCACTCTGACGTATCAACAAGCTGCTTGTTAAGGAACTATAATTTGGCGGAAGGAATTGCTAACATTAAAACATTAAATGCCACCTTCACCGCCCAGTTTATTAATCATTCTTGCTTTTTTTTTCTTTACTATTTATTGAACTGTTGTATAAAAGCAATAGAACACTTGAGGTTGTGTGTTATCGCCAATAACATCAGCGGAGTGATACAGTGTTTGTGAAAACAGTTAGAGCACTTCTCAACCAATCAGCTTGCGTGGCCGGAACCGACTGTTGTATAAAACATAGTACATTTCATTATATCTCATGAAAAATAGGTTATAGTGTTTGCAGTAAAGTAAATATGCAGACTGATTCTGTCTTGTGTGTGCTGTGCCTCAGAGACTTTATTTGGCCGAGCGCCGTTCGCGTCCCGCTCCTACGCTGAACTGGAGGAGAAAATCCGCAGTGATAAACCTATCGAGGTAAGATCAACCCATGCGGCACTACGAATTCCTTACGTTCTTTACAGCTTCTTCACAAGAAGCTTCATGAAGTACTTTTATTTGCTGAAATAAACTCAGAGCTAGTGCTGAGGCACCCTGGTACTCTTTTAATATGGTTGCCCCAGGATTGAAAGGAATAGTTTGGTGACAAAAATACACAGTTTACCCTAACATAGCATACTACAGGGAGATTCACTCGAAAGAGGCCCTGAATATTCTGTTGAAACTCCTGTTAGGATGAAGCAATCTGAACCTAAAAAAAACGCTACATACCTCGACGTCTGTGTAATCGACTGCATTACATGCGATGCTGGAAGTGATCTCTGTTTTCTGTCAGACACATGAAGGGGTACGGGGGGTCTGCACACGGAAGTTTCAAATGGAGGTTAAATGTTGCGACGGCTGTCCGGCGCCTACCTCATCGCTCCGACGCAGGGGCATCCCAGCTCGTTCAAAGCTCCATATACTGAGGAGCTCATTGCACGTTGTTTTGTTCAGATTGCTTCGTCCTAGTGAGAGTTTTTACAGAATATTTAGGGCCTCTTTTGAGTGAATCTCCCTGTACTATATATAAAAATGTACAAAAGTACAGGCTAAATTCTGGCTTCAAGATGCCTGCTACTACAAGTGGATGATATGGAAAAAATACTGTATTACAATACTTATAGACACATTCACAATAGGCTATACTTATCACAATATTAGTAATAGTATCACATTTGAAAACTGATATTTTGCTGCGCAAAAATCCGTTTAACAGGACTGACTGTGCTCTTTTTGTAATGAAACATGCAGTTGGTCAGTGTCCTTTAAGCACTGACGGTATTGACAATATGCTTTAAAATACATGTTGGGTATCACTATATAACATTTCCTGTTTCCACCTGCTACTTCTGTCCGTGTTTATTGGTGATAGTGTACTACATAGCATCAGACCACCACACAAATAAGTCAGTTTGAGCTTATTTTACATGGAGTTTGAGACAAATGAGTGACGATTTAGGCTTGCAGTCTGCAAGGTGCTAATTGGTGTACATGAGCTTCCATTACTTGTTAGCTACATTAGCCTCACATCTCCAACAAGCAATCTTCAGACTCCAAACATGTCTTGGCTGTTTGGAAACCATTTTATTTTTTGATAAACCACCACTTTAACCAATGCCGAAGACGTTGGTGTGATCTTTTGGGCTGTATTTCGGTTCGTGTCACCCCAAGGTGGCGCACTAGTTGCGGCCATACACCAAAAAGCATCTCAATGCTGAAATAACTTCAGCTGAATCTTGATTGTGATTAAGGGTGAGAGAGAGTACTAGCCACTGAACTCCAATTGTTGATGTTTAGCTGCCGGCCGGTGCCAGAGTGTCCAGAGACTGCAGGGATTTGCTGCTCAGGCTGCTGGACAGACATCCAGACTCACGCATTTCATTTGATGAGTTCTTCCTGCACCCGTTTGTGGATCTAGAGCACATGCCCAGCGCCGAGAGCCTGGGAAAGGCGGTGAGTGCATCTCCTCCACCAACAGATCGTCTTGTTTGTTGTGAGTCATTCTAATGATCTGAGGGGTTTGATTGCAGCGCGTGCTCTGCTGCCCATGTGTGAAACAGCTGTTGGAGCTCTAGCAGAGGCTTGACAAACCCTGGCTGAGAGGATAATGGTGTTTTAGACTGCATGTTTGTCTTGTTTGCTTATGCATTTACATTTCAGCCTAAATACAAGGCCTGTAATTACATCCATACACAACTATGTGAATGCTGCTTGTATCTGCGGTCAAACTGGCTAAATACCCTCTCTCTCTCTGTCTCTCTCTCTCTCTCTTTCCCCCCTCCTTTACACTTTCTCTCTCTCCCTCAGAAGGAGCTGGTTCTGCGGGCAGTGCAGAAGGATCAGGAGGGCGAATGGGCTGCTGCTCTCTCGCTCTACTGCAGCGCACTGGAGCACTTTGTGCCTGCCATCCACTGTAAGAGCCACAGACTTACAAACTGCACATCTGTGATGAGTGCCGTGTAAAGTACTATTAAAAACTGCCCACCTAGGCACACGGGTGGGCGACATAATTATATGATTTTATTATCAAGACGACAGCTGCATGTTTCATTAAAAACAGATATGGCTATGCCGTTATATACCCCCACCTGGACCGAGTCACTGGCAACTATGAATATTCATTATAGTGAAATGCATCTATCTGTAGCTCTGGAGAACCAGAAGGAGAGCTGCTCTCATTAACATATAGCATTCTAGTTAAAGCACTAGCATAACTAGTGTTTTCCATAGATTTTTTTGTGCAGAATTGTTTAAAAAGTATATAATCAGGACATGTTACCTGTAAATACACCAAGTTTTACATTGTCCACACATTTTTTTTCAAAAAGAGCAGCTGCTGTTGATTGATTAGGACGTTATTTATAGTCTGACTGAATGCTTTCAAGTTCACCCAAAGAAAAATTAGCATGTTCTATATACATGTAAAACAATAGCTTTCATAGTTCCTTAAACCAGCACACATATTCAAAAGTTTGGGCAGCCTTGGTCAAATGACATGTTTTTTTGATTGTCTAAGTCAGGGGTCGGCAACCCAAATGTTAAGAAGAGCCGTTTTGTCCTTTCAACAAAAATCAAACCACCTTGGGAGCCACAACATTATATGTCCATTTTATTGAAGTAACGTTTTAACATCTTGGCTAAAAAAATATGTGCTAGCTAATGCCCTAATATAGACTAAAAAAATTATAAATGTATAAACGCAGACTTACTTTGCTCTGCTTTAAGCTTTAGCTCAGTTATAGCTGCTTTTCTCACATCTCTGGCAGGAAACGTCCTCAAAAGTGGAATAATTTATTGTAAAATGTCTCTCAACATTTGATTTTTTACGAAGCTTCTCATTCGCCAGCTTCTCGTTAGAATTTTCCCGTTCCACCTTAAACGGTGCCTGAGGCGCCAGAATGCAACTCCTGCACCATTTAAGGTGGAATGGGAAAATTCGAACTAGAACCTGGTGAATGAGAAGCTGACGTCAGCTTCGTGACTTTAGTGTTTGACAGTTGTCTGTGTTGCTATGGTGACCAGCAGTCTGCATGCCAACCTTCAGGGTTAAAGGGTGAATTAGCAATTATACACTACATTGCTAAAACTGTGTTAGATCATACATACATACATCATCTAAACCGCTTATCCTTCTGGGGTGCTGGAGCCTATCCCAGCTGTCATTGGGCGGAAGGCAGGATACACCCTGGACAGGTCGCCAATCCATCGCAGTGTGTTAGATCAGCAGAGCTTTATTTTACTGCAAAGGAGGATAATTTCAACTTTACCTAGTAATCTTGATTCTGTTGTGGAGCTGCAACAGGGCAGTAAGAAAGATGCATGTGGCTTCAGAGCTGCATGTTGCCGACCCCTGTTCTAAGTGAAAATAAGCTCTAACAAGCTATAAGCTATGACACAACCTCTAAAGAGAACTCGCTTCTGCACATTTTAATGCACATTTACTGTTTATTTGCTGTATTTAACATATTTGGGAAAAATAAAACATATAAAATGAGCTATAACTTGGACAGGTCACATTTCATCTTGTAATTTTTTACTAATACAGCAGCTAAAACCATATAAGCAAGGAAAACACTATACAGTGCAGTGCTGCAGTCTTCCAGTTGTAGAGCTGGCCACCCTGACATTTCAAAAATCCAGAAAATGTGCAGTCTTAATCGGATCCTGGGCACAGTTTCAAAAACCAGTCTGTGTACTATAATATGCTCCCTCAGTATAACACACTGCTGGTAGAGTTTTGAGCTGTTGATCTTCATCAGACTTAATCATCAGTTGATTTATTGCATTGTGGTAGCTCATTTCTTTCTTTTCAATTTCATTCTTTTACTGTCTGAATCTGTTTGGATCAGGCTCTAGCAAAACATCTGATTCATTTTCATGTTGTTTTGGTGAATCGGTGCTGTTTTTCTGGCTGATCAGTTCCGTTCAATAGATCAAGATTCATCTTTCTTTCCTCAGATGAGACAGACAGGCAGAGAAAAGAGGCTCTCAGACAAAAGGTGAGTAAATTACACCTATTTGATGGGCTGTCTTGCTAAAATAAACTCAACTCTGCTGTTGTGTATCACAATAGTGTAACATTATTAGTGGTGTGAAAGTTGATGTGTTAAAAATGCTATAAATAATTTACACTCTTGTGCCCAAAAACACTCCTCAAGTTGAATGAAAAGCCTGCAAATTGAAATTGTGAATAAACTTTAAAATGTTGGTCAAATATTTATGTATTTCTCAGTTATTGGTTGATTATTATCATCTCTACTGTGAATGTGTTTTCGTAGTTTGACCCTTCTAAGCATCTGTGGTTCCAGCCTGAAGCCAAATTGCTCATGTGACTTCGTGATTGTAATCCTCTCGTACAGAAACAGCTTTTAAACGTTCCGTTGATGGCTTCCTTGATAACAGTTTTTTTCCACTAGAGGTCTGCATGGGCTTGATTATTAATGCCTGCACCCACCACTTCAACCACCAGTCATGTTCGCCTGTGCCCGCAAAATTTAGTGTTGATCTTGTGCACACCTGCCTGCAAAACCTAGCAACATTTTTCTGTTCATCCACCCGATTCAAGCACAAGCACCCCACACCCCATCCCCAACACCTTCTTGACCAATGAAGGTACAGATCTCTAATTATCAGCTACTGCAGTGCCATGAATTTGTTTATCACCGAAGCACGTTTAGTCTCAAAACACAGCGCTGATGATGACACTATCAGTAGCGTCAGCACCAGGGGGCAACTTCAGCAGACAAAGCTGATGGTGTAATAGCAAAGACGAAATAAGACAATGTCGCAGCGTAAGAGTGGGAGCGTGCAGACGCTGCTGCTCTCACTGGGCATCGGTGGAAGCTGGAAATTGTGTTCACTCTGTTGAAACTGCGTGAGTTTCATGTGAACTCTGCATTCACATAGTGAATGTAGCTTGGGGCAAGTTATGGCACATTTTGTACTGTCCATTTATTTTTTTCAGTAGTTAAACTTGCATATGATTGTAGCAATAGCAAAATGCACTGGGTCCATGGCTTTTACCGGCACTTTTTAAATGGAAAAGATCCATTAGCATCAAATTACGGGCGATTACCTACACAAAAATAACACAATCATGGTTAATTATTTTAATCGTTGAACTTTTAGTTAATGTAGCTTGTAAATACAGCACTTGATGGCTAACTGAGCGTTTGGAACCTCTCACAGGTCAACCAGTATGTGTCTCGAGCTGAAGAACTCAAAGCTCTGGTGGCTTCAGACAACAAAATCAGCTTTGAGGAAGCAAAGTCGTCCAGGGATATATTAAGAGGTAAGCAGCATTTCTGACAGTCATTCTAAAGCACAATTTTCTGTTATTGTGTGGATCTCAGGTTTAAATGCTTCATTCTTGACCTTGCTATTCATTGGCTATAATGGCTCCCACACTCTCTGTGGGACTCTACATGTCCGACAGGGAGTCTGTGTCACACTGTTTCTGTTTGTTTTCCTCCTGTTTAGAAATGTCCAGGGACCAGCCGCGACTGCTCGCCGCACTGGAAGTAGCTGCTACTGCTGTAGCCAAGGTGACTGCCATTAGCACTCTGCTAATAATGACTGTTGTAAGTGGACCGCTGTTGTAATGAACTGTGTTCTACAGGAAGAGTGTGGGCTGGAGGATTACGAAACATTGGATCTGTATCAGCAGAGTCTGGGCGAGCTGCTGCTGGCTTTGGCTGGTAAGAGAGTCTCTCTTTGTATACATACAGAGAGCCACCCTGGAACAAGCCATGGAATCAGACTTACTTGGGAAAGCTTGGCGAAAAATCAAATTTACTCAACTCTCCGCTTACCCTGAATCAGCCAGTCAGTCGGTTTAAAGTTCCCTTCTTTAGTTTTGCACTGGAGCTACAAGGCTGATGTAATTAAAGGCCACATATCATGGAAAACTGAACTTTCCTCAGTTGTTCGGAATAAGAGCCTATTTGTAGCAGTTTAGCTTCATCCATTAAGCAGTTCAACCCATTTACATCACAGTGAAGATATAAGGAGTGTTTCTGCTTGGAATACTTTAGAATGAGCAGCCAATCAGAACAGAGATACCAGTTTTAAGGGCACAGTAACAACTGTTCATGTAAAAATGAATTACAAATTAAAAACTAGTGGACTTCAGGGGTTTCAACGTTTTTCAGTTTTTGACCTAATTTGAAAATACCCATTACCCTTTACATTGTCTGTAAATTTTATGATGAATGGACCAAAAGAAATGACCCAGAATGACTTGGAAAAAAGTCTGGTTCCATTGACTTACATTAAAAGTAAAGTCAGTTTTTTCCTTCTCCTGTAAAGTTACCATTTTGGAGATATGAGGTTTTCTTCCGACAACAGCGATATATATATATATATATTATATATATATATATATATATATATAATGTGGGCTCTTCAACAAGCCATGGAAAGTTATACACCTATAAATGTAAATGCTTATATACTAAAAGCACGAACACCATTCAGGCTGCTACTACCGTACAGTGTAAGAAACAACAGTCTGAGATAAGTGTGGTGAGATTCAGGCATGCAGTTTGCATGCTAATTGGTGGGATATAAACATCCATTGCTTGTTAGCTTTGTTAGCTTTGCAGTTCCAGAGCAATACTCAAAAAACAAATTTCAGACACCAAACATGTCTCGACTGACTATATTTAGGGTAAAAGCACATTTTTCCTAATTATCTCCTTACAGTTTTGAATGAGTGGACTGAATGGAAGACGCTCAGGGGTGATTGGGAGCCAGCGTCGCTGTCTCTCTGTCTGAAGCTAAGCTGTTATTAGTGTGGCCTCTGGTTGATGATCTCATGTAGTAGTTGGTCCTAATAGTAGTGAGGGAAGGAGTGAAGAATGGAAAGGGAGTGAGAGAATGAAAGAGGATAGAGAGGTAGGGAGAGAGCAAATTAAGCTGACAGGTAGAGAAAACATTCAGAGGCGAGAGAGGGAGAGAGAAAGACAGACTGAGAGGAAGTTAAAAACAACAAAGCCTTAGAAAAAAAAAGTTTGAAGACTCTTGAAGTACCAACAATGAGGTAACACGTTAACCCCAGTCTTATTATTGAATAGGTGGATAAATGTAAATGGGTTGGTTCTTGTGATGTCACAGAGACAATGCATTGAAAACAGGCAGCATAGTTTGCATATATGGACTAGAACAATGTTTATTAATATAAACTCCTTAATTTTAGGTTGTTCACAATACAAGTGCTTTAATGTACTGAAGCCTGAATTGGATGGGCTATATGGAAAAACGCCTGTCCCAATAGGGTAACACTTTATTTGGAGTGGTCCTTTGTAGACGATTAATAAACACATCAACTATATGTTAGTGAAGCTGCAGTAGTGAAGCATCTGAATACACTGAAGTAAATATCTTGATGTACTGTTGATACATTACTTACATTAAGTAGATGTAAACCTTAACCTCACCCCAAAACCTAATCCTAACCCTGGCCCTAGTCCTAACCCTAACCTTAACCTCAACCCAAAACCTAATCCTAACCCTGGCCCTAATCCTAACCCTAAATTTAACCTCACCCCAAAACCTAATCCTAACCTTAACCTTAACCTCACCCCAAAACCTAATCCTAACCCTGGCCCTAATTCTAACCCTAACCTTAACCTCAACCCCAAAACCTAATCCTAACCCTAACCCTAAATTTAACCTCACCCCAAAACCTAATCCTAACCTTGGCCCTAGTCCTAACCCTAACCTTAACCTCACCCCAAAACCTAATCCTAACCCTGGCCCTAATCCTAGCCCTAAACTTAACCTCAACCCAAAACCTAATCCTAACCCTGGCCCTAATCCTAACCCTAAATTTAACCTCACTCCAAAACCTAATCCTAACCCTGGCCCTAATCCTAACCCTAAATTTAACCTCACCCCAAAACCTAATCCTAACCCTGGCCCTAGTCCTAATCCTAACCTTAACCTCACCCCAAAACCTAATCCTTACCCTAACCCTGACCCTAATCCTAACCCTAAACCTAACCTCAACTCAAAACCTAATTCTGACCTTCATATGTTTTTGATTTATGGTAAAAGTATGTTTCAGGCTGATTTTTGATTGAGGTCACAAAACAGGGCAGCCAATCGGAACAGAGATCATTTGCATATATCAATCTGAAAGGCAGAGTAATGAAAACAGCCTGTTTAAGAAATAAAGTGAGGTTGGAAAAATTAACATCTGTGATGTCACAAAAACTCCTTTACATATCTCTGCCTATTCAGCCCACAGCAGTTTAGCCCCGCCTATTTACATTAAAAGTGTGCAGAGTGTTTCAGGCTGATTTTTGATTGAGGTCACAAAACATGGCAGCCAATCGGAACAGAGATCATTTGCATATATCAGTCTGAAAGGCACAGTAGTGAATACAGCCTGTTTAAGAAATAAAGTGAGGTTGGAAAAATTAATCATGATTGTTTGGGCTGCGTAAAACCACCAGCCGCTTGCAGATATGTTTCCTTACTCAATTGAAAAGCTTCAAAAGAAGGCAAACATTTAATGTGCAGTTTACGTACAGGAGAGAAAGAAGTGGAAGGGGAGTGAGGTAGAAAGACTCGGGATGAGAGATGGAGAGAGAAAGAGAGTTCGAAAGACAGCTAGAGAGAAAGTTGGAAGCCAGATGTGCGGTGTGAGTGGTTTGGAGAGAGGGAGGCTGTGCCAGGGCCGTGTGTGTGGTACTGCTCCGCTGCCATCTGGATCCCATTCAGCGCCGCTCTCCTCCTCTCTCACTGTTATTAAATACTGGAAACAAATGAAAACTGTTATCTCTCAAAGCACCCGGCACTCGAGCCAGCGGCCCTGGGGATAAAGGGGCTGGGGAGGGCTCGAGACCACCCAATCCACAGTGTTAGCACATGAGGAACACTCCAGCCAAAAAATGCTGCTAATAATGAATGGCAGTTGGCAGGGGTGGGCTAGCATTGTGATTTGTAAATGTGATCTTACTATTATTGGGGGGGAAGGTTTGGTGAAAAATCGAAAGTATGCCGTGAAGTTAAAACAGTAGTCTTGAAGCCTGAATTTTCTCAGTACTTTTGTCCGTGTTTATAGATAACAGTATGTCATTCAGTGTCAGAAACCACATAAACAAGTCTGTTAGAGATTACTGAGCAGCTCGACTCGGAGGAAGATTTAGGCATGCAGTAAAGCCCAGTCGTACGCAAAACATTGGGCGCCCCTGGTCAAATGATGTTTTGTTGAAGTGAAAACAAGTTAACACATCCTCTACAGGGAGAATGCGCTTCTCTTAAAGCACAATTACTCTTTATTTGGTAAATTTAACACATACTGGGGAAAAAATAAACATAAGAATTGGCCTGTACAAGACATTGTACACTAAAATGTGAAGAAAAATGCTAGTTTATTTCCTGGGGAGGATGTGTTAACTTATTTTCACTTATAAAATCAACAAAATGTGTAATTTAACCAAGAATGTTCAAATATTTGCATACATCTAAATATCAGACGGCCATTAATAACGGCTGACGTTGACGGCCCATAGTTTTGTAAGTATTAGGTAAAATATTGTCAATAAATACTAACTTTTTGATGTGAGAAGGTAGGAATCTTCCAACTGTAGAGTAAAACCTTAGACAGTTGTGCCACTGGGGAGCCAAATATGGTCAACCCCTGTTTAAATATAATATATAATATATGAACATAAAATATAAATAAAAAATGAAAAAATGAAATCGGCCGGTATTATTGTTTAATGGTATCGGCCACAATAAGTTGCATGTTTACTTCTCGTCACATGGCTATGAATCTATGCTCCGTATGGCATTACGGTCCAGTTACAATGAAGGAATTAGTTGTCAACAATAAATCTTGTCTGCTTCACCACCAAATGATTAATAATCTCTTTATGCATTGCCTTTGTGCAGCATCTGGATTCTTCAGTTAGTGAATGTAGAGCCATTTATGAAATATTGCACACCTTGAAATGAGTGGGGCATTTATAACGATACTCGTGAGCTATGATTTGTCCAAAAATGAAGTGCTGTACGGGATTCATTCATCTTTTCTATCTTTCCTCCCCCTTTTTTTCTCGTACAGCTGAACCTCAGGGCCGCAGGAGGGAGCTGCTCCACGGCGAGGTGGGTATAATGGATATTTGTCATACATTGTGGTGCTTAAGGGCTCAGATACATGAACACACTATAAGCCTTGTTAGTACAAGTCAGAAGCTCCATACATCTCTCTGACACATGGAATATTAGCACATGTGTCTCTGTCCTGTTGGCCTATGATACACTAAATGGCCAAAAGAGTGTGGACACATGGCCATCACACATATATGAGCTTATTGGACAATCCATTCCTAAACCATGGGCATTTACATGGAGGTATAACAGCCTTCACAGATTTTGGAGTGTGTCTGTGGGAATTTGTGCCCATTCAGTCAAAAGAGCATTTGTGAGGTCAGGCAGTGATGTTAAGTGAGACGGCGTGGCTCGCAGTTGACATTCCAGTTCTGAAACTGCTGCCACAAAGTTGGAAGCGTATAATTGTCTAGAATGTCTTTGTGTGCTGTAGCATCAACATCACCCTTCACTGGAACTAAGGGACCCAAACCCTGCAGCCCCAGTCCATCATCCCTCCTTCACCAAACTTTACTGTTGGCACTGTGCCTTCCAGTAAGTAGAGTTTACCTGGCATCCTGTCAAACTGGCAGATAGTCAGTTATGATTCATCACTCCAGAGAACGTGTTCTACACTTCTACATTAATCCTCATTAGTTGATTAGCAGGGTCGTTGCCAGCCTACCAGAAAAGGAGGGTCTTTCTTCCCCCCCAAAAGGTGGACTGCAGGGGGTTTAATGTGGGTTAGCATTTGACCTGATCCTACGATTGCTTTATTAACCACAGTAGGCAGGACTACTTTTTCATTTGCCTTCATTCAGCACCTCTGTCTTTTCATCAATTGCATGCTCCGTATCTCAAAATAAACCTGATGCTAAAATGACTAGATGATTTTGCTGAATTATAGTTACTTTTATTCGGATTACATTGCATTTCAGTGACTTCTGCAAAACAATGTTTTAACTGGTCTGGGTTTTGCATGAGCGGCTATGTTTTCAGCATTTCTGTCTAATGTTATCAGCATATCAGATTAACTCACATTAATTTAAGTATGTAGGGTAAACGGTTAATATTGTAGAGAAGATGACGAGTGCCTGAAGTTGCAGCTGAAACCAAAATGAAGCTCTTATATTAAAAACTGCACATCATGTTAGCAGGTGAAAGCAGCAGAAGCTTAGCTATTCGTCCCACGATTGATAAATTCATTCGCTGTTGTTTCTGTGATGATGTTAATTATTGACAAAATGAATCGAGTGAGCCGTGAGCTATTTGAGCCACAAAATTATATGGCATTTTTTCCAATATGTTAAATGTAAATGAATAGAAATTGTAGACTAAAATTAGCAGAAAAATTCCACATTTAAGTGTGTTCCCTTAAGGATATGTTAACTTATTTTCATTAAGAAAATCAACAAAACGTAATTTGACTGTTCAGTGTTTTGCATGTTAATGGTACGGCGAGGTCTAATAGACACTTTTTGTACTTGTTTTGGGTATTACCCCTACCCCTCCCTTTGGCTACGCCCCTGAAAAGGGCTACTGCAGTTATTTGATTTACCTTAATTACTTAATTTCAAAAAAATATTGGAGTAAAATGTCCTTTTTCCATGAATTTGCAGTGATTCGTTGGCAGATTTTAAATTCTCCTACTGCTCACTCTCACAGTGAGAAAGAAAGCCTGATGGCCACACTCATTTCTATACATTTTTAAGGCACGTGGTTTGTTTACTTTTTAAAGGCTTCCAAGACTATGCAGGGTTTGTGATGTTCAAGTCCATTTTGGTTAGTTTGGCCCTTTTTAAAAACTCAGATGAGCCAATTACTCATGTAATTAATAGTGAAGGCCCTACAGTGGATACTCACCCCCCTGTTATCTGTTATGAGACTGGAGTGAGTTGCTAAAAATGCAACTAAAGAATATGCCTGGGTCACAATATTCAACATATAAACAATTTTTCATTTTTGTATTCTACTCAGAGGCTTTTAAAGAGGGAGAGAGAGAGAGAGAGAGAGAGAGATGAAAGTGTGGTTTTTAGAGTATTCCCATTTGAAGTTTTATGAGTCCCTAAATAAATTCAGATGCGGCCGAGTTAACCAAAAGCAGAGCTCTGTGTGTGTGTGTGTGTGTGTGTGCTGGTTGCAGTAAAGGCCTGGTTTCAGTGTGTGAACCGCGTGTGATTATTATTCTTCACAGCTTTGACTGTATTCTTAGAGCCACAATTAGGGTTCTATAAAGTCTGATCATTTTAACAGAATATACTGTAAATGCATCCTGAAAAATAAGAAGATTAAACATAAAATAAAACATAACATACTTAAGATACACCGACCAGCCTCTTCATTAAATACACGTCCTTATATCTACACTCATTGTCCATTTTATCAGCTCTGCTTACCGTGTAGGAGCACTTTGTAGTTCTACAATTACAGACTGTAGTCCATCTGTTTCTCTACATACTTTGTTAGCCTGTTATTCAATGGTCAGGAACCCCACAGGACCACCACAGAACAAGTATTATCCGGGTGGTGGATCATTCTCAGCACTGCAGTAACACTGACGTGGTGGTGGTGTGTTAGGGTGTGTTGCGCTGGTGTGAGTGGATCAGACACAGCAGTGCTGCTGGAGTTTTTAAACACTGTGTCCACTAATTGTCCACTCTATTAGACACTCCTACCTTGTTGGTCCAGCTTGTAGATGTAAAGTCAGATACAGCAGCTCATCTGTTGCTGCACAGTTTGTGTTGGTCATCCTCTAGTCCTTCCTCAGTGGTCAGAGGATGCTGTTGGCCTGATATTTTTGGTTCTCAGTCCAGCAGTAACACTGAGGTGTTTAAAAACTCCAGCAGCACTGCTGTCTGATCCACTCAGACCAGTGCAACACACACTAACACACCAGTTAGTGTTACTGCAGTGCTGAGAAAGATCCACCACCCAAATAGTGCTGCTCTGGGGTGGTCCTGTGGGTGTCCTGACCATTGAAGAACAGGGTAAAGAGGGGCTGACTAATGATGTATATTCAACATTTTATTCATTGCGCTGCACTAAATCTAATAAAACAGGAGCAGTTAGGCTCTCTTTATAATCAAACATGCAATTGTGAAGTGTTTTTAAGTAGTGGCGACATCCTGATATGGCCAGAAAAGCTTATTGAGGCATAATGTGATGTAATTTATCAAAATAACGAGATCGTCATATCGCCCAGCTCTAGGTTTACCTCATATTCATTCACTTTTTCAGTACAGCCATTGACTGTCAAAAACAAACACTGAATTTTTTTGAATGACCTAAAAATATGAACTTTTGGAAAACAACATCCTCTACGTCCATGATTCTGCTTCTAGCCTGTGGAAAAACACTTCACTTTGTTATGTTTCTTGTTATAAACTGCTCATTCAAGCATTGGTTTATTGAACCCTTCCCTCAGGGACCAACTGATGTAATGTTTAGTTCTGATTCTGAACCATGGAAACTAGCTACGTTGGATTGAGGTGCTGTAGTGTTTGGATAATACAAACACTTGAGAGACAAGTGGCTTGTGGTTAAGGCTTTATCAAAGCCAAATCTTCTGAATGGCCTGCTAGCTGGAGCAGATTGGATATGAGCTGATTGTGTTGCTGATTTAGCTTTGCGGACCCAAGGCTGCCATATGATTGCAGGAGCCTTGGGGCTTTGGGTTATTATGGGGTCAGTGCAGCCTTGACTGTCATCCCTGTATATATAGTACATACAGGTGATTTATAGCTCTGAAAAGGTTGAACAGTGATGGCGTGTACTTTATTACTGCAATTTATCATAGGGGTGGGAGGTAAAGTGACGTAAAGAAGAACATGGGTGAATGATAAGCATGTTAAGCATGATGAGCCTGAAAATGCTAAAGCACAAACAGCCCCGCCACCGTAACAGTAATAGATTACATAATTGCTGAGAAATCAACAACAAGAATTCCTCACGATTTAAACATTTACTCAACTGTTTACAGTGTTGGTGAAGATTATTACTTTGCTGTGTGGAATAGGCTTCCTTTCTTTGCTGGATAAAATTCATATAACATTGCATCGTGCACTACTGCAGAATGCTAAATGTGACAAACGTATAATAATAATAACAACAGTGTTTAGCACTATATCATATTATTAATATCCCAATACCTAATAATGGAAAATGTCATGATATAAATTGAGTTCATAATGCCAACTCAAATTTATTATGTTGAAAAAAGCCAAATTACTGTTCTTTGTTTTCTTTATGTTGTTATTCTGTAGTCAAAATTGTTCAGTGCTACTTCTTCTACTGCTTTCGAGCTAGAACCACAAAACTTTATAAGATCATAGAGCCTATACCCGAACACTGTAGCCACATGTTTTTGGACACTCTTCTTACGTCACCATCATGCAAGTATGCTCGTAACACCTTTGCAACCACCTGGCAAACCATAGCAAAGGCCTAGCAACACCTTAGCAACCACCTGGGAAATCATAGCAAAGGCCTAGCAACACTTTAGCAACCACCTGGGAAACCATAGCAAAGGCCTAGTAACACCTTAGCAGCCACCTGGGATACCTTAGCAAAGGCCTAGCAACACCTTAGCAGCCACCTGGGATACCATAGCAGAGGCCAAGCTACACCTTAGCAACCACCTGGGATACCTTAGCAAAGGCCTAGCAACACCTTAGCAACCACCTGGGATACCATAGCAAAGGCCTAGCAACACCTTAGCAGCCACCTGGGATACCATTGCAAAGGCCAAGCAACACCTTAGCAACCACCTGGGATACCATAGCAAAGGCCAAGCAACACCTTAGCACCCACCTGGGATACCATAGCAAAGGCTTAGCAACACTTTAGCAGCCCACCTGGGATACCATAGCAAAGGCTTAGCAACACTTCAGCACCCACCTGGGATACCATAGCAAATGCCTAGTAACACCTTAGCAGCCACATGGGATACCATAGCAACCACCTGGCAAACCATAGCAAAGGCCTAGCAACACCTTAGCAACCACCTGGAATAGATAGGAACAGCCTAGCTATACTGTAGCAAGAACCTACGTTCTCAGAAAAAAGGTACTAAACTGTAACTGGGGCAGTTCCCCTTCTTGTCACTGGGGTGGTTCCCTCAAAGGTACCTCTCAGTACCTTTAGTCAGGGAACATAATTGTCTTATAATATATTGAAATTATGTTTTCTAAATTGTATTTAAATTGTATGTAACTCCACACACCCCGTCTCGTCTCCAGGCTTTTTATTTTACTGTTCTGTTTTAAAACATTCGGTTATATAAAGGTACAAATATGTACTTTTACCTAGAAAGACTAATTAAAGGTTCACAATTGAACCTTAAAACCACTGTTGTACCTTTGAGGGCACATTTACATTGTTTGAACCTTGATGAACGAAAAGTGTACCTGCACAGAACCTGCATTTCTAATAGTGTAGGACACAATAGATGTCAGGCCAACGTAACGTTTATTCACACACTTCACCTTTCCATTTTTATCACAGATGAGAATGTAACTTTTCTGTTTTGTCATTTCCTCTTTCTGTCCACTTTAATCTCACAGATTAAGAGTTTGATGAGCAGAGCAGAATACCTTAAGAAACAGATTAAGGTAAAGTCATTGTACACTATACACCACTGGGGTCAGCAGCATTGAGGGTCTATAAACAAGACATAATGCATAATAACAGGCAGCAAAATTGTTGTAACATTTACTAGGCTGCTGGGAAAATATCTACACTTGCTTTGCAGTATACTGAGAAGGTTTAGTGAAGCCTGGTTCAGTCTCAAATAGACTTGCTAGTGTGGTTTCTGACACTGTATGAATGTTTCTCAATAGAGAATTCCCACAGAGAATCTATTTTAGTTAGAGGCTGAGCTTAATCTGTCGTCTTCTTTTCTTAGCGTGTGCAAGTCATTCACTTGTATCTAAAACACTGCTATGGTGTGTTTGTTTTTAGATCCGAGAAACCCAGACTGACGTGGATAAAGACCCAGTCTCTGAATCTGTGCGGACCTGTAAGTCTAGAACACACAATTTTTTTCTGTCAAAAGATGAAATCATATAATGTTAGTGTCCTGCAGAAAGTGGACATACACTCAAGGGCTAATGTATTAGATCCACTTACCATATAGATGCATTGTGTAGTTCTACAATTACAGCCTGTAGTCCATCTGTTTCTCTGTATACATTGTTAGCCCCCCTTTAACACTTTATAGCCAGGACCCCCACAGGACCACCACAGAGCAGGCATTATTTGGGTGATGGGTCATTCTCAGCACTGCAGTGATGCTGATTTTGGTAGATTGAATAAGACTCTAGATGATGGCTCATCTGTTTCTGCACAGTTTGTGTTAGTCATACTTCAGTCCTTCATCATCGGTCAGTTTCTGGCCACAAGATGGTATTGGTTGAATTTTTTTGGTTGGCAAACCAGCCCAGCAGTGACACTGAGGTGTTTAAAAACTCCAGCAAAACTGTTACTACTATATCAGTGTCGCTGCAGCGCTGAGAATGACCCACCACTCAAACAGTACCTGCTCAGTGGTGGTCCTGTGGGGGGCTAACGAAGTATGCAGAGAAACAGATGGACTACAATGTGTAATTGTAGAGCTACAAAGTGCTCCTATATGGTTTCATGAACCTGATAAAATAGACAAGTACAGGTGCAAAGTAGGTGTACCTGATAAAGTGGCCATTGACCATTAGGTTGGTTACGTAAACATAGCACTACTGGTTCTGTTTTATCTGTTTAACTTATTGTGCATTATAATAACTAAATATTGTGGCGCATATTGTGAACATGCTTTGAGGTATTGTGATATATTTGCCACATCGCCCACCCTTGCAGAAAGTGTTTAATAGCTTACTGTATAGTGGAATAAGTAAGCAGTAGCTTATGTTACAACAGCTTCGTAAAGTATACCTGGAGATGTAGAACCCCATTTCCAAAAAAGTTGGGACGCTGTGCAAAATGTAAATTAAAACAAAATGCAATGATGTGTAGATCATTTAGACCCTATATTTCATTGAAAATAGTACAAAGACAACATATCAAATGTTGAAACTGAGAAATTTTATTGTTTATTGAAAAATATTCGCCCATTTTGAATTCGATGCCAACAACACATTCCAAAACAATTGGCACGGGGTAACAAAAGGCTGGTAAAGTTGTGTAATGCTAACAAAAACACCTGGTGGTTGATTGTCAACAGGGCAGTAATATGACTGGATATAAAAGAGCATCTCAGAGAGGCGGAGTCTTTCAGAAGTAAAGATGAGGAGGGGTTCACCAATCTGTGAAAGACTGCACGATCAAATAGTGCAACAATTCAAGAATCAGAACGTTTCTCAATATAAAATTGGAATCCTGTATCAAACAAGAACAGGAAAGCATTTCACTTTCAGAACTACAGCAGTGTCTCCTCAGCTCCCAAACGCTTACAGAGTGTTGTTAAAAGAACCGGTGATGAAACTCAGTGGTAAACAGGCCCCGTCCCAACTTTTTTGGGAAGTTTTGTTGGTATCAAATTCAAAATGGGCGCATATTTTTCAAAAAACATTTCTCAGTTTCAACATTTGATATGTTGTCTTGGTAGTACTTTCCTTTAAAAATAAATAAGGTTTACATGATTTGCATATCATTGCATTCTGTTTTTATTTACGTTCTGCACAACATCCCAACTTTTTTGGAAATGGGGTTGTAAATACATCCAGGATTTTGTACCCCTTCCAAAAGACTCAACACATATTTTCATATATTTTCCCACTTACCCCAAATGTAGTCGATCAGCGAAGACATGTTTGATGTCTGATGTTTTCTTCTTTAGGTTAGAGCTGGACCTATGAGGCCAATGTTGCTAATAAGTAATGGAAGCCTATACCCCAAATCAGCATGTTGCAAACTCCATGCCTCAGTTATCACTCACATGAGCTGTTTGCTAATCTCTAATAGACTTGCTTATGTGGCTTCTGACACTGTACAATACACTGTTATCTATAAACATGGGCACAAGTGTGATTTTTTTTGTGTGAAGTATTTGTTTTTCACCATACTATCGCTTTAAAATGATTTCTGTATGCTGTTTTCTGTTTGTCACTTAGCATGCTGCCTACAGTAACTATGGCTGTCTTTAACCATGGACTCATCTGGCAAGGTCATGTGACCAGACTGAAAGGTGACCCTGCACTTGGGATCCGAAGGAATCTGATTGGATCGCAGGCGTGATTGCTTCTGCCCTCAACCAATCACGCAAGTGCTGACGGCTGCCGCTTTTTCTGCCTGTAGCATTAAGAGCAGATTGAGTGAAACGTGTACTGTATACAAACAATGTTACAAACTGATGGTTTTACACATGACTGTACACTCATACCTGTTTCTTTCCAATCACAAAACTGTATTAGAAGACTTTGCTGAGGCTTGGAGAGTGTTTTAATCCCAGAAAAATGACTGCTGTACATGTAAGGGAACTCTTGAAAATGTGAGAAGAATCTTAGAAATCTTACTGTATCCTTTTCCATCCTTTACTCTCTCTGCTTTCGCGCTCTCTTCCACTCGCATAAACACACATACACATACTCTCTGAGCTTCACCGCAGCTCGTCCGCAGAATAAGTGGGGCTTTGGGTCCGTGTGGCTTTCCTCCCTGTTTGCTCCGTTCTTGCATTTACTTTCGGGCTGCCACACATCAAGCGCTGAATTTTTTTCCCTCCAGCCTGCCTCACGCGCCGCTGGTTAACAGTTTAGATTGGTGGCGCGGCAGTAAAAACACTGTGAAGCTCCAGCTTTTTCTGTCTACTGACTGTCCAAAGCTAGCACAAAAATGACGAGGGGGCACTTAGTGTTGCTGGTACACATTTAGTACTTTTCGGGAATGAGGGTTACTTCATGGTCTAGTGCTGTATGTGCTGGAGGGCAAAGTTTAATATTTTCTGCTCTTTGTTTGTATGTTTAAGCCTTTTTTTTATAAGATTAATATTTTTTGTCTGAATTATTTATTGAATGTCTGGCCTACAGATGAAGTTAATTAAAGAAATCTGGTGTCAGTGTCTCTGTGCGAATGACTGGATAGTTCCAAGGATGGATTCTGCCATTTTTTTAAAGAATTTCTGTGTAACTCTGTGTAACTATATTTTGGGGGCAGTCATGGAGGTTAGGGAACTAGCCCTGTGACCGGAAGGTCGCCGGTTCGATCCCCTGAGCCGACAGTACGTGACTAAAGTGTCCTTGAGCAAGGCACCTACACCCCCAACTGCTCCCCTGGGTGCCGTGGATAGGGCTGCCCACCACTCCAGGCAGGTGTTCACTGCCCCCTAGTGTGTGTGCATTCACTAGTGTGTATGTGGTGTTTCACTGTAATGATGGGTTAAATGCGGAGGTGAAGTTTCCCCGTTGTAGGACTAATAAGGGTCTCTTAACTTACAAGGTCTTTGGTTCATGGCCTTGGCTTGGTGGGAAATGGTTCATAGTAGAGCTTCAGATGTCTTTACAGTGGTGGTGATAGGAACCAGGGGTCACCATGACTACAACACAAATTTTACAGCCATTTTATTTACTCTTCTGAGTTTTCATATATTTCATATTTTCATATGACACTTCAGACATCTGGTTCATATCACCACCACTGTGAACACTGTGACGAGGTAAGTTTCTCTACAACAAAGCACTTTACACCGAACCACTCTGAATTATTCTGTTGACATGTGAACCATTTAATTATAGTGTAATTTTGAAAAATTGGTGGCGTTCTCCTTTAAACTCTTCAGACGTCTGGTTCCTATCACCGCCAATGTGAACAGTTCTGACTGCAAGTTTCTCTAGAATGGAGCATTTCATACCAAACCACTCTGAATGTCTTTGTTTACATCTTAATTATTTAATCACGCAGTCAATTTCAAAATTTGATGGAACTTCCCTTTAAGCAGGCTTTTAAAGTGACAGTACTACAAAAAAAATCAAGTTCACATTTTTCCTGTTATGCTGTATGCCAGTTAGCTAAGACGTGTTTGGTGTCTGAAGTTTGCTTATGGAATTGTGCACTGGAGCTATGGCGCTAATGCTAGCTAACAGCCATCAGTTTAGCACTGAATAAACTGCATGTTGTGAAGTCATCACAGATAGACTTGTTTATGTGGTTTCTGACTAAAATTCTTATTCCATGATGCTAATGAGGGGTTACAGCCCTCTGTCAGTCATTAGCTATATTAGCCTCATGGCTCCAGTGCCAAGCTAAAGAATTAAACTTCAGACACCAAACATGTCCTAAAGGATTGGCTACATTTGGGGTAAAGGACAGGGGGGGACTGTAAATTTGATTTTTGATCAAATCATTGCTTTAACCTTGCTATTAAATCTTTTTAGTTAATTGAATGCTGATTGCTCTCTTTCAGCTTGACCGTGTGGTTGTGTGATCTAAGGCAGGTTGGAGTCTAGGTGTTGGGAGCTTAAAAGGTCAGCTAGGTCAGCACTTCACCGTTCATAGTTGAAGGATTATAAACTAAACTTTTGTCAATTTTCTATAGATAACATTAGCCACGTTTACATGCAGCCTTATAATCCAGTAATAATAGCTAAATCGGAACAGAATACGTCCATGTAAACACTACTAGACTACTCCGATTGAGGCCATTTGGAATACAGTTTTTATCCCATTGATCAAGGTGGGTAATCCTGTAAATAATCCGTTAAACAGAAGAATAATAGCCGTGTAAACGCCTGTATCTGTTTACATTTCCAATCTTAAAGTTTAGGTACGTTCTGCGCATGTGCTTCATGTCATAGCGAAGATTTATAGCGTTCAACAGGTAGAGGATACAAAGTTTATGCTCTGATCTTTAAAAGACGGCGGTGGGACGGACGTCCAGCTTATGTGTCTCAGAACACGACGTCTTCCTCTCGGCCTTCTTTAATAAGGACATGTGAAGGACGTTTTCCTGAGTCTGACATCATTTTAAAGTAATTAAAAACACAAGCACTGCTCACTGCTGCTCATCTCACTCTGACTGGACTCACATGATGCTGGTTGTCATGGTAACATCTACACTAAGTGGTATTCCACGCATACATGTTACTTTGGATCAGATTACTTGTAGTGAGCATGTAAACAGAGATTTTCATCAGATTGTTGAGTAAAGTGAGCATATAAACACTTCTAGTAATAATCTATAATCGGAATGTATTCAGTGTCATACAGTATCAGAGACCACATACTATTAGACATGACTTAACAGCTCAATGTGGCTCAGTGGGCTCATATAATAGAAAACTTAATTTCCGATTACTCAATGTACTATTTAACACTGTTAAGTTTCTGTTTCGTACTGTTCCTGTTTCAGTCCATGCAGTTCATATGTGGACATTACGCTAAAAAAATGCCCATTTTGAATTCACTGATTTGTGATGTCACAAAAGCAAGGCATTTGCATCTAACTGCTCAGCCTACAGCAGTTTATCTCAGCCCATTCATGCTGAAGTTATAAGATGCGTTTCAGTCTGGATGGCTTTTTTAATGAGGCCCCATACAGGGCCAATCACAGCAGAGGTCATTGTGAAGACACAGTAACAGCTTATTTAACATTAAAGGGCCTGTATCCTACATCTTTCTTGTATTTTATTCTTTACCCCAGAGGTCTACTTATATGTACTTGTGAGATTTTATGTAACAAAAACAGTCATAATTCATTTTTACATGACTTTTCTTTATCTCTCAGAATTAGACAGGTTTTTTTGTTAATGGGCAGAGCTGAATTGCTGTAGGCTGAAAAGGGGGGATACATTTAAAATTGCCTGTTATTTTGACATAATAAAATATATAAACTCAAAGTGCGTTGTTTTGCAGCGTAGTTTCCATGTATGGACTGTACAGAGTGAACTTTTTTGAAAACTAGCAACTTGCATCCTGCATCAAAACTTTTTATTTAAGAGTGAGGAAAATTCAGTTTTCCATGATAGGGTCCCTTTAAGGGGTAAAGAGGGGCGGAAAATGGTCATGTATGACTGTTTTTGGTACATAAACCACTTAATATCATAAATGTCCCACTGGGGGAGGGTGGTAGGGGATAAAAGATAAATGTAGGATATGGGCAAGTGTACATGTGCAGTTTGCATGATGCTAATTGGTGTTTATAAGGTGTTAACTACGTAGCTTTGGTGCAGAGCTAGAGAAGCAAACTTCAGACACCGAACAAGCGTTGGCTGATTGACTACGTAGGGGTAAAATTGTGTAAATTGTATTTTCTGCTGAACTGTTCCTTTTAATTTCCTCTTTCATCTAAATACTCACTCTAGCATGCACTCACTCGCTCTCCTACTCTCACTCTGTCTCTCGCTTTCTCAAACATTCATACTTTCACTCATATGCTCACAAAGCAGCACTGTAGTTGTAATTGGCCCCATTTCGCCTGAGTTCTGCTCAGGTCTCTTATGGCCTGTTCTGGCTCTCTCCCAGCCACTGTTCCAACTGGCACTGCGAGAGAGAGAGAGAGAGGCTGTGTGTGCTGAGAGGGTTAATCCTTGAACACGGAGCTCTCATCTATACCACACACACACACACACACACACACACACTCACACACACACACTCACACAGAGTATTCATCTTACACTGACATGGCCGTCATGAATAGAACATTGTACCCACGGGACACAAAGCTAGGCCTAAAATCTGCATCTGAACTCGTCCCAGTGTGTGGCTGTGTGGATTGAAATATGGGTCTGTCCCAACACCCAGATAAATTAGACACTAAGGCCCAGCTCCTGTTAGCCCACCCCACCCCACCCGCCCTCCCCCTCTAACTCTCCTGCCTTTGTTTGTTTTGATTTTGTTCCCAGAAGCTGGCTGCAGGGGGACAGCTAAAGGTGAGGAGGGGGGAGGGGGTCGAGAGATTTGGGGCAAAAAGACTCTGACGCATGCCTACAGTGAGATGTTTTTCGCAGAGAAACTGCCGTCTGCGCTTACACCTTTTCCTTAAAGGGCCCAATCATGGAAAACAGAATTTTCCTCACTGTTCTGAAATACAGAAGTTTGATATAGTTGGTAAATGTTAAAACGTACCATTCACTCCTCAGTCCATATGGTCCATATATGGAAACTAAGCTGCAAAAACAGTTTTTGTATTGAATTCACTGTTTTCGTGATGTCATGATTCATTTACATCTATCTGCCTGTCCTGCCTATAGCAGCTTAGCTCCGCCCATTCACGATGAAGCTACAAGGAGTGTTTCAGCCTGGACTGCTTTTTGAATGAGGAATAATACTAGACAGCCAATCAGAGCAGGGGTCATTTACATATGTCAGTGTCAAAGGGTAATTAAACAGCCTATTTAATTCTAAGGGATAGAGAGAAACTGGAAAATGGTCATGTGAAAAATGAATTATGACTGTTTTTGGTAAATGAAACCACACAAACGTTAATGTGAACCTCAAAAGTGAAAAATAAAATACAAGAAAAATATACAGTATAGGCCCTTTAAAAGCACAGTGTCACATTTAGAGTTATTTAAAATAATAATAATAATAATAATTAAAATGTACATCATTTTCCTCCTTACTTTAAATGCAGACAATCATCAAGACTTCGTTGGTGTCTAAAGTTTGCATCTTTACTTTTGCAATGGAGCCACAAGACTAATGTGGCTAATAATAAAATGGTTACATTAGCCTCAAACCATGTTGAGCTGTAAAATATTCTCAAATAGACCTGATTGTGTGATATGTTTCTGACTAAAACTGGACAGAAGTAGCCAAAAATTACACCTCAAGATGTCTTCTACCTGTTTTTTTGCTTTTCTGGGCACAAAATATGTTAGCATGGCTAAAAACAGTAGTAGCGGCCATCTTAAAGCGCAAATTTATTCTTACATTTGTCCATTTTTATAGATACCACTGTCAGAAACCACATAAGCAAGTCTATGTGAGATCACTTAGCAAACCTACGCAGTTTGTGATAATTAAGTCAAGTAGTTTTGCGATGCTAATAAGTGGCTAACTTCAAGTACTTGTTAGCTATGTTAGCCTTGTAGCTCCAGTGCAAAACTAAAGAAACAGACACGAAACACTTGGGCTAATGAGGGCAACTGTGTAGATTTTTGACAAAAAAATAATAAAAAAGCTGTAACAGAGAAAAACCTGGAACATTTCCCTGTTGTCGGAAGAAAACCTCGTATCTCCGAAATGGTACTTTACAGGAGAAGGAAAAAAACTACTTTACTTTTAATGTAAGTTAATGGAACCGGACTTTTTTCCAAGTCAATTTGGGCTGTTTCTGTTGGTCCATTCATCATGAAATTTACACACAATGTAAAGGACGACAGGTATTTTCAAATTATGTCAAAAAGTGAAAACTGACAAAAAATGGAGATACGAGGTTTTGTTCCGACAGCAGCGATTTACTTTAAATAAGCCATTTTAGAAGTTTGGGATGCTAATTAACACTCATTCTACTTCTTAGCAAATGAACCAACTGGACAAGCAATTACGTGGACAATTCACATTCAATTTTATTCCTTCATATTGTTCAAAACATAAATATATTGCTTTCTGTACATACAAATTTTGCAGCAATTCAACAAAAGAACGTATGACATTCGATCATTATTCCAACTATAAACTGTTACAATGTTAACACACCTAATGTGGTTAATTCCTGATTCGAATGCAGACGAGAGAAGAGCTTTACAGCCAAAAACGTAGATAACCGCTGACTACTGGCGGGACGGTTCTTCGAGTTAGTCAGAAAAAAAAATCTCCAAACGCATTGTTCATTCATTTATCTTCTCTCCAAGCAAGGCCGAAAAGTCAGCAGATGTTTGACGTTACGGAACGAGGGGGTTCTGCTGCTTTAATCAAATCTCGAGCAGAAAATAGCTTCTTACAAGTCGGTCAAGCTTTCCATGTGCGAGAGAAATTTCATAAAGCCCAATTACTTTAGAGCACAAACAATGGCCCAGCTCAGAAGCAGAGAAAAGAGAGAGAGAGTGAGAAGAGAGAGAGAGTGAGAGAGAGACAGGGAGAGAAAGAGATCAAGTATTTCCTCTAGGAATGGGGGAGGGAGAGAAAGAGAGGAAAGAGGTCATGCCAGGGGATGATTCAGTGAAATGAGAGAGGGAGAGAGAGAGACAGAGAAAGAGAGAAAATGGAGTGAGTGGGGGTGGGAAAGGGAGGGGGGGCGCAATTTAGTAGCCTGTGAAGAGCCTCTCCACTTAATTTAACAACTTGATCCCGAAACCTGCTCTTTTCTCTGGCCGTCCACTGCAAATATTTGAAGTGTAATAGTCACCACAATGAGCGTGTGGGCAACAAGAGGTCCGCAAACACCCACCAAGCAAGTTCACTGTTTGTCTTAAGTCTTACTTAAAAAAAAAAAAAGAAGACACACTTCAGGCAGCAATGGGGTGAAACAACCCGAGAGAGAGAGAGAGAGAGAAAGAGAGAGAGAGTGGGAGGGAAAGAACAGTTTACATCTTCATAGTCTCTCATCAAACTAACCTCTCTCAATGCCACAAATCTTGAAGATTAAAGGGATACTTCAGCGATTTTCAAATCAGTCCCTATCTGCTGCATCTGTGGCACATGGTCAATTACCACAGGCGATAATTTTGACACATTTCTTGTACTTTGAAAAAAAGCAGAAAACCTGTTGACGCAAAACGCACTTATAACAGAAGCCAATGGGCACCTGCTGAATTCCACGAATAAATGCTTGAAATATGTGATTGTATAACACAAAATTGATACTACAACCATTGCAGCCATCACAACTACCCACTGGCTTCTATACTAAGTAAGTTTGAGTCCACATGTTTTCTGTTCTTTACTAAGCGCTAGGAAAACTGACGTTACTGTCCCTGGTGATCGACCATATCATACTGATATGGTACACACCGAATAGGTTGAAAAACCCAGATATCTTCCATTAAGGTATATTTCAGTGAAAAAAGAAGTTTTTAGCTTCACTCTTGGAACACAAGGTTCCTATTCCTGTAGCTTAAGTCTTTTATAAAAAGGCAATCCATACCAGACTGGATACGCAAGATATATTTAGACATTCAATTTCTTGAAGACTGCTATTGAAATTCATTAATTTCTTGCACTTTTTTAACCTCCTATCCATAGAGCACCTTCATAAGACCCTTACTATCCCTCTGGTAGCGCTCATAATTTTGTTTTAACAAAACTTCATCCAGTCCAGCTTCAGAGCCCAGTGCATGCCACCTAGTCATCTAGCTTGCCCTGACCACGCAGAAGAGCTTGAGGTGCTCAAGCCCCAAGAAAAGTCAACAAGAGTGACCCCCAGACCAGAACTATATGGCTTGAGAAGTGCTTGGCCCCCGAATATTGCACCGCAGCGTCCACATCCATCTCCCGCTCGCCTTTAACCTCGTAATCCTCATCCTCATATGCATCGTCCAGGCTGTCTTGGTCGGTGTGCACTCCATGGTTGCCGACGGAGCACAGCCTGACCATGTTCTCCTTGACCACCTCACAAAACGGCCTCTCTACTCCATCACATATACACTTGTCCAGCATGACGCCGTCAGGCATGAACAGCAGTTCCTCGATGGTGGCCTTGCAGCGGGCCGAGCACTTCCTGCCGTTGAAAAGCTGACCGCAGGAGGACAGGTAGGCGTTCAGGGACTTCCGGCAGCTGGGGTTGTCCTCACAGCGCTGCCGGGCCTCAGTGCAGCCCATTCCGCCGGGGTGAGTTCTGGGCAGGCAGGGCTCAATGGCGTTTTTGGCCATGCGGCACTCCATGTCCTGGCCACAGTCACAGGTCTCCAGGTCTGGCCCGCTGGCCGTCTGGTTGAGGCGGATTAGCGCGCCGACGCAGTGGCTCGGACACTGCCTCCTCGCCCCCCTCAGGTTTCCGTCACACGCTGTCAGGTACTGCTTATAGGCCAGCTCGCAATCTCGCTCATGATGGCACTGCAGCAAGGCCTGCCAGCAGACCAACTGGCCATTCAGAGCCAGCGTGAGCGAGGTGAAGATGAAGAAGGAGAAGGAGAAGAAGAGCGCAGGGGGGCCACATGGGGCCTCCATGCTGGGGGTCCCCTGCGACTCACGGATTTGCAAAGTCAGCTTTCTTCCACATTTGGCAGCCCAAGAAATCCAAGTGTGCTCCACATTCCACACTACTAGGTGGTGCTCACCAAGTAAAATCCTTAATAATGAAAAACTGCATGAAAAAAAGTTTTAAGCAAACTTGAAAAGGCTGCTCAGGAGGCCTGCAGGCTACAGCGCTTATCAGATTACCTTGGAAAAACAGAGAGAGAGAGATAAAGAGCAGTTTTCCCAGAAACCCTTAGCGCAGGAGTTCGCATTCCTGGCGCATCCCAGCCCGTGAAGTCGAATTCGTCCCGTTTTTCCTTCCTTTCTGCTCAACTTTCCTCACTTTCCTCGTCGCAGGTCATCCGCGCGTCTCCGTTTTCGTGCCTCCACGCTGAAGTCTGGTGTCTGTCTGTCTGTCCCTCCTCGCCCAGTTCGGTTTTTGCACGCTTGGCTGAGCTGTTTCTCAGCGCCCCTCCTCCCTTTCTCTCTCCTTCTTTCTCCGAGCAGAGAAAAGAAAACTTTTCCCTCCCTCCTCCTTCCCTCCCTCCTCCTTCCCTCCTCCCCTTCACGTTGTTTTGTGTTTTTCCCACCCGTATTCCGACAAGCCCCGCCCCTCAGGCGCTGTGAGTGGCTCTTCCCTCGCACTCACAAACACACCGCCGCTCTAGAACGCTTGGCTTTGCGTAGTATGAGCGTCTAGCCAATCACAGCGCAGGAGGGGCGTGGCGTCAACGACTCGTAAGTAAGAATACGGGTGGGGAAACTGAAATGAAATAAAATAAAAATAAAAAGAACGCCCCTCCCCCTCCTCACTCTGCCAAACGATTGGTCGCGTACTTGGGGGGTGGGGAGTACGCCCGCGTGATTCGTTTCCATAGAAACGGCGAATTTATTTATCGTCGTCTTGGCAAGCTGTGCCTCACGTGCGGGAGAAACGGTCAATTATACATTATTATCGAATATAATACAAATAATAATGTGTTAATTAGACATCCGCTGAAGCTCGCGAGCTGTGTGGTCCTGTCACGCGCTCAAAAATTCACAATGGTGTAAATCTTACAAATTTTGAAGCGAAAAAACAACCAAATCTGTTTCTCTTCAACAATAAAAGACGAGAATAAACCTTTTTTTTTTCAAAAGCAGCGCCAGCAGGACGGCCTACCTTTCTCTCTCTCTCTCTCTCTCTCTCTCTCTCTCTGTCTCTCTCTCTCTCTCTCTCTCTCTCTCTCTCTCTTTCTCTCTCTTTGTCTCTCTCTCTCTCTCTCTGTCTCTCTCTGTCTCTCTCTCTCTCTCCTCCTCCTCCTCTCTCTCTCTCTCTCCTCCTCCTCTCTCCCTGTCTCTCTCTCTGTTTCTCTCTCTCTCTCTCTCTCTCTCTCTCTCCCTCTCCCTCTCTGTGGTGTTGTAATCTCGTATTGAAGGGGCAGAATGGGGGACAATAGTGTTTTCTGGCCCGTTTCACCCTCTTTGTGCTGGGCTGGCCATGCAGTGTCCCTGTGTCTTTCTGCAGCAGAAGCTCGTTCACGCCCCGGGGCGCAGCAATAGGGCACTTTTTAGCGCTAATATATTTTTACGGCGCTGTCCTTTCACTGCGCACTCGAAAAGCACCGATAGACCAATCCGCCATTCTATTGAAATGTAAACTACTCTGACTGGGCTGCGTTTGGACACCTATGGAGGGAAAAGATGCAGCCAAACAGATTAAAAGAAGTTGTGTACAAGTTTACAAAGAACACAACGGTAAAAATGACCGGTGGAAAATTAGTATAAAAACAACAACAACAACAATAATAATATCAGTAGTGTTATCATGCAATATACAAGTAAGATTAAATGCTTGTATATTATATGACTATACTGCCAACACCACTACTGTCACTGCTACTGTTACTAGTACTGTTACTACTAGAACTACTACTACTACTGTTACTGCTACTACTGAAACTATTACTACTGCTACTATTACTAGTACTGTTACTACTACCACTGTTATTGTTACTATTGCTACTATTAGTACTACTGAAACTATTACTACTAATACAACTACTGCTACTGCTGCTACTATTAGTACTACTGAAACTATTACTACTAATACAACTACTGCTACTGCTGCTACTATTAGTACTACTGCTGCTGCTACTAAAACTATTACTACTGCCATTGCTGCTGCTACAACTACTGTTACTACTATTGCTAATATTACTAGTACCGTTACTACTACTACTGTTACTGTTACTACTGCTACTATTAGTACTACTTTAACTATTACTACTACTGCTACTATTACTGCTGCTGCTGCTACTACTATTGTTACTACTACTGTTACTACCACTAGTAGTGTTGCTGCTACTACTAATACTACTAATAATAAGGCAGTAGTAAGGCAGTAATACAGTAACATCTATATAATTATAATAATATTAAAATATAATAGTACAAATAAGCTAAATGCTTATATATTCTATGTTTATAGTACTACTACTACTACTACTACTACTCCCACCAGTACTATTACTACCAATAATAATAATGATATTAATAATGATTTAGTTACACTAGTAATATATAATACAATATGCTATGTTAGGTAAACTAAATGCTTGTAAATGATGCGGCTCTATTTTACTGAAACAGTTTTAATCTGTGTTTACATGATCATTTTAGTGAAAGACCATACCGTTACATTCACACGTCTCAGCAATCAAACGCCCCCCTCTGCTGGTCAAAGCGGGAACTGCAGTTCACCTCTGAAACCTCACATATTACACATTATCACCAGCCTAGAAATGAACAACAGAACTCACGGGTCATAAAAATATGTTTATTATATGTTTCAACAGTCAGAAAATTAATGAGGTCCGCAGATGACATTAGGCTATAGAGTGGGGGATTCATACAGCGCAGAATATTAATGACCACGAAGATGGCAAAGGGAGAGAAAACCAAACCAAAAGGCAGATATTTTTATTTTGTTTGTTTTTTTTTTCCAGTAAAATCACACTCTCAGATTACATGTTTTTATTGTTATAATAAATAAATAAGTAAAGAAATAAATACATAAATACATAAGTAGACATTTTCCTCCTTCTCCCCCTCCTAATATTGCTTTATATTATAGACTCGTGCCTGAAGACACACATGTTAATGACGCCAGCTCTTGGCAAAGCTCTATGGCACAAGAACAAAAAAAACCAGCAATGACGTGAACTCACGTTTCAACCAACTGTCACAACACATGACTCACACGAACCACACAGCTTGGAAAAAAAAAAAACGTTGGCTGTATGGTGCTCGTTTTTACAAACTGAAAAGATCTTCATCTGCTCTGTTCCAGACCAACACGCGATCAGTCAGAAGAACCAAGCTGTTTAAACACAACGGAATCTGATAAACATTTTTTTGTGTGGATATGAACACAGCAATCTTTAGGGAGAACAGTCAGAAAGAATGTAGACACTTTCATATCTGTTAGACAACACAGGACCACCTGCACGAAACAGCACCACTGGTGATGGGGATCAGGGGTCAAGGGGTCATATAAGAGTCAAATGATTGGGGTCAGGGGCAGGAGGCGATTTGAATGGCACAGAGATTCGGGCTCCAACCAAAACTGACCCACGTCCCTTTTCCATAGGCCTATTCTACAGACCCCTGATGGCTGGTAGCACCAGGTTGACTGTATCTCCATTTTGCAGCTTCTTGTCTGGAGAATGAAACTTCATTATTGCTTTAATGTAAAGGGGAATTCCACCAGCTTTTTCAAAATTTCGACATGAGGAAATGGTTAAGATGTAAACAAAGCCATTCAGAGTGGTTTGATGTGAAGCGCTGCATTCTAGAGGAACCTAGAGAATTGTTCACAGTGGTGGTGATAGGAACCAGACGTCAGATGCCTCTAAAAACTCCCTCACAGAAAGTTATTGCACAACATGGTTATGAATATGGTACCTGATGCCTGAAACATTCATTTACGACAGTTTTGAGGAGGTTTTGGCCTAAAACGTCTTGTTTTCCTCTATTGCTCAGAACTCAGAAGATGCATGTAGGTTCACTGGTGGTTTTGGATAGTAAATAAAATGGCTATATTTGTGTTTTGGACATGAAGACCCCTGGTTCCTATCACCACCACTGTAAAGACATCTGAGTCTGTAACTTTCTCTACAACAAGCCATTTCACATCAGATCACTCTGAATGACTTTGTTTACATCTTAACCGTTTATTCATTTAGAATTTTTTGAAAAATCAGTCCAATTCCTCTTTAACCAGCTCTGGGAAACCGATTCAGTCTAGCAGCTCCCAGATAAAGCCCATTAGATTTTCACCATTAAAGGAATAGTTCAGCATTGCACATCCTAGTCTCCATGTGGTGCATTCTGTAGTGTACAGTCCATCACCAGAGACAGTAATCTCGATATGTGTCCCTGCGCCTAGAAAACACTAGGAAATCTGTCGACTCAACACATTTATAATAGAAGACAATGGGCAGTTGCTGATATCTGTGAATAAACATTTAAAATATGTGACTATAAAACATCAGTTTGACTACAGCCTTTACAAACTTACAGTACAGGTCCTAGAATGAGATGAACATGAGAGAGTGTCTTATCTGTTGTGGAGATTTGTCTACATTTCGAACGACACAATTCAAAAAGTAGTTCTGGTAACTTTTGCCTTCTGGTTTTCCACTAAGTATTCATGCACAATCCACCAGAAACTCGCTGGTGCCCACACCGCTACAGATTCTTCCCTCTGGAAAACTAGTCCCATCTACACCCTTAAAAATGGTTCTTCAGTAAAGACGATGTAAAACATGTAAAACCATAAACAATAAACAAACTGTTTGAATGCATGACGGGTTATTTGCTTGGTTCTCTGTGATGTTTTAAAAATGGCTCTAAATAGTACCATCTAAATGCTATTGTTATGCCACAAACCCTTTTTTTTGCTATTGTACAGAACCTTTTTTGCTCTGAGAAACGCTTTCACAAAATACCTTCTGCTGAAGAATCAACAACAGTATTTTAATAAAACTACATGTTTTGCATGAACGTTTACTGATGGAACTCAGCAACTGCCCATTGGCTTCTATTATAAGTGAGTTTCAAGTGTACAGGTTTTCTGTTCAGGTACAGGGAAATGCAGTCATTGTGTATTATAATATACAGTACAAAACAGATGCTATAAATAGAGATTTGGGTTTAAAAATGCTGGCGTACTCCTTTAAGAGTGTTACATAATCCAGGACTGGGCTTAAAGGTGCTTAAGTGGTGGCTTGCTGCTTTCCACATGGCTTCTTATGGTGCATGAACAGGAACCTTCAGTATTCCTAGCCATCACTGGCTTCCGCAGCAATATGTCCTACATAGTGCACTCTGATGTGCCCTGCAAATGGCCCTAAGTTGTAGGGCACTGAGGAAAAGGGTGGTTTTAGGATGTGAAATGAAACGGTGGAGCCAGAAAGTTGATATTCACAAACCGGAGAACAAACAGCAATGACATTAAAAACTGCCAGCACAACACTTTAGCTCTAACACACTGAGGGGATTCTAGAGGGGACGTGGGACGTGTGAGAGTTAATATGTGCTGTATACTTCTGTCCATGTGTGTGTGGGGGGGATTATTCAAGGCCTTGGCATCAGACCTGGCAGCACATGCGCTCGGCAGTATTTTTAAGTTGTGCTTCTATTGCATTAGAGAGATAGAGACGTGTGGATGTGTGCACAGTACTGTGCAAACTTAGAGACCACCCATCGCTCATTTGATTGCCAGTCAAAATGGCTATTAAGTATAAGTTATTCATTGTTTATTTCCTCAACATCTTTGAATGTGATTCTTTGGATTGTGAGAAGCAGAAAAAGCCACCAACTTCTAAGACTGAACTTTGGAGATGTGTCTGCAGATTTCTTTGAGAAACAAAGTGAGTCTCCTGAAAAGAATGGGAGCTCTAATGAAAGTAAAGAGTGACTCACTAAAATGTTGTTATATTTAGTTGTTGAGGCTTCAATGTAGTTTTCTGCTAAATATATTGTTGACAGTTTTTTTTTTATGATATCGTTGGAACATGGCAGCTGCCCGTTACACTGTGTGAAAAGTTCATGATGAATGGACCAATAGAAATGCTCCAAAATTGCTTGGAGTAAAATCTCTTTATGCCAGCTTACGTTAAAGGTAAAGAATGTTTTTGCCCTCTCTTGTAAACTTACCGTTTTGACATATTTGTTTTTTTTTGGACATTGCAAAACTGATGTACCTTATGGCCACCTTGACTGTAAATTACATAACAAGGGTGGTCTCTTACTTTTGCACAGCACTGTATGGGTTGTGTGAGAAGAAGAATAGAGAGAGAGAGAAAGAGACAGAATGTGTGTGTGTGTGTGTGTGTGTGTGTGAGAGAGAGAGAGAGAGAGAGAGAGAGAGAGAGAGGCTACATTCACATTACAGGGCTGAAGTGCCACTAATCTGATTTTTTTGCCTAAATGTCAACCAGATTTGATTTTCCAATGCTGTGTGAACCCAATCTGATATATTGAACTACGAACTGTGTTCATATTTAGTCCTAATGATCACAGTGAGAAAATGTAAGTTTTCCTCCAAATATTAAAATCTCTGCAAATGTGCATCATCGGCCAGGATCGGCAGGTTGTTGGTTTCATAAATGTGTTCACACTAATGTTAGATATGGGTCACTTAGGGTGTTTTTCCACTGAACAAAACTTTGGCACCAGAAAACTGGAACTGTGCTTTTCCCATTGGTCAATGGTCCAGTACAGAGCCCTGCAGGAAACATCCGGTATGAATAAAAGTAATGCATGGCCACGCGGTACTGACATGTGGGAACAAGATCCTAATGCATGACTGTGACTTAGTAAGGCGCGGAAATGAGATCATGCCTTATTAAGCTGTGGTCAAGGCTTAATTATCTTATGTCTATGCCTTACTAAGTCGTGGCCATGCATTAGGATCTCATTCCCACACCTTACTAAGTCATGGCCACGCATAGGATCTCATTCCCACGACTTAATAAAGCATGATTTTTATTTATACGGGATGTCACCAGCAGGGATCCATAGTCCAGAACCGAAAGTTCCAGTATTATGGTTTTTGGTACCTGCTCACGACTGGTACCAACAGGACCTAAGGATACTCAAAGGGGGTTCTGTGTCTTTGGTAACACTTGCAGCTAAAGCTATTGACAGTTTAGCAACTTAGCAAAGTGAGGACAAAGTCACCAAGCACTTCTACATCACCAGTGATGTGTCGATTGCTATTTTTATAATTTATAATTTATTGATTTTAGAACTACTTTGTGTGTCTGAGTGGAAAACAGAACACCACACATGCTATCATGCTAATAAAACTAGTATTAAGCTAAGCTAATTAGCAAAAAAGGATGCTAATGTGTCAGTTCACACTCGAAAAAACGAAGCTATACACGAGTAAATGTTGACATGATTGAAGACAGAACAGGGCATTATTAAGTTTCATGTGGGCAAATAAGCTAAGCTAACTAGCAAGCGAGGCAACTAATTTGACCGTTTAGAGTGGCACAAAATGACCAAAATGACAACTAAATCATTTACTATGACAGTTTTTCTCAAGCAAGTGGACTGAAGTAGAACTAGAGGCCCTAGTTCCCATCTGGGTCAGTTCTTGTTTTAAAATGTGCAGTGGAAAAGTACCCTTACGAACACAAATGTGAACCATCAAGGCAGAAAGGTCCGATCTGAGCCAAAAGAGCTGGAACTGACCCATCCACCCACAGATCCCATTCAAATATCCTGTTCAAAACGAATAAGGAACTGTAGCACACTGTTTAGAGTCGCTAACATTAAGTTCCCAGTTTTAAATGCTATGCTACTGGGCGAGCCTTCATTGTTGTTGCTCAAATCAAATCAAAATGACTTCTGTGGGAATCCCCAGCTATAAATGTTTCACCATTACATTTACATAACATTAGCATGACAACTGTGTTAGAAGAGCCAACATAGACCAGCATTGGATGCTGGTATACACGTCAACCAGCATGACCATGCTGGGGTGACCAGCTAAACCAGCATCAGAACAACACTAGACCAGCCTAGACCAGCACTCTGAATATAGCCATTGCGATGATTTAGCGCTACAATTTCAAATTAGGTTGAACAGGATTTCCAAACGGCTTGTCCAAACTAGCAACAGTTGCAACGAAAAGATGGACAAAGGTCAGTTGAGCAATAACAAAGTTTGTAATGTGAATGTAGCCAAACAGAGAAAGACAGCAGAGAAGATCACATTAGCGAACATTTCTCGGCTGAGTTTTTCAGCTCCTCCAGCGTGGCCTGAGCTTTGTCCTTCAGGTGGTCAATATCCACGTTCTGGATGTTGGAGAGCTGGCCGAGGACGGACTGTTTGTGCTTCTCTTCTTGGTTGTCCTCGGCGATCATCTTGGCCAGCTCGGTGGGCAGCTCCACGTCCTGCCCTGCGGCCTGGATCTGCGTTTCATCCAGCTCGTTCTGACACACACACACACACACACACACACACACACAGACACACACACACAAGCACATTGTAAATATGAAGTACTAAGAGATTTGTTTCCACCGATATAAAGCACTGATTATGCTCCGCCATTTCCTTTATGTTGTTAGCCTAACAGCGATACGATCTGTGAGCTTGCGATGCTTCATATTTAAGCAAACCTTTAGTGAAAAATCAATTTTCCATGAGGTTCTCTACCCCAAATGTAGTCGATCAGCCAAGACACGGCTGTGTTTTGCTTCTTTAGTTCTGGAGCTATGAGCTAAAAAGCAATGCTAGCTTATACCTCACAAATTAGCGCTGTGCAAACTGCCAGACTAAATCATTACACTTACCTCAAACTGTGCTAATAGCCTTGTTTATGTTGTCTCTGACACTGTATGGCATATTTTTATCTGTAAAAATGGACAGAAGTAAGTGCAACATGAGCTTTAAGGTGGCTGCTGCTAATGTTTTTAGCTGTTAGCACGAACGCGTTCATTTTTACAGTACTTTACAGGTAACAGTATGTTGTTGTCTGTGTCAGAAACCACTAGTATGTCTATTTGAGATTAATTAAATGGGTTTTTTTTCAAAATTTCACAATTGTTAAACTGTAAACAGTCATTCAGTGTGGTTTGGTGTGAAATGCTTCATACTAGAGAGAATTATTCACAGTGGTGATGATAGGAACCAGACGTCTGAAGCAGTTAGTACATGAAATGATTATGAACACATTGTTCTATGATAGTTTTGAGATAAACGTTTGGGCTACTATGTACTTTTTAAAGTCTGTTAATTGGGGAGAGATGCTTTAAGGGTGTCATAAGTCAATGTGGTCCCCAAAAAACATACATTTTTTCCAGATTTACCCATATTTTACCATTCTCAACATTATATATGAAAACTCAGAAGACACATGTGGGTTCACTTGTGGTTTTGGATAGTAAACAAAGTGTCTATATTTTTGTGTTTTAGTCATGGCAACCCCTGATTCATATCACCACCACTGTAAAGAAATCTAAGTCAGTAAGTTTCTCTACAACAGGCGTGTTAAACTGGGGATCTGCTGGGTCGAAGAGCTGCGGAGATTAACGTCTACCCTCCTCTACCGCTCTGAATTCAGTCCATAAAGGCCTTGCTAATTAGCGGATGAGCTGAATTAGGTGTGTTTAACGAGGCAGTGTGCTGAAGTCTGCAGTGGTTTGGCCCGCGAGGACTGCAACCTGACACGTGATCTATAATGAGCCCTTTCGCATCAAACCACTCTGAATGACTGTGTTTACATCTCAGTCATCAAATTATGCACACATTTTGCAAAATTGGTGGAATTTCCTTTTAACGACTTGACAAGATAAGGCAAGTTTGAGGCGCAATGCTAACCTGATAGCTAAGCTTCTATTTCTTGTTAGCTGTATTAGCCCCAGAGCTCCAGTGCCAACTACAAGAAGCAAACTTTGGACAACAACCTAGTCTTGGCTGATGAACTACCTCTGGGGTAAAGGGGGAAATTAAGCAAAACTTGACATTTGTCCAAACTATCACTTCAAAGTGAGCGGGGTCTGTACCTTTGGCAGTCTGTACTTTTCTCTGAAGTGAGTTCTGACTGTGGCCCTCTCCGCTTTCTTCTGGGCAAAGTTGGCATCTCGCTCCTGCCTGCAAGAAAAAAGTGATAGGTGTAAGTCCAACACACACACACACGCGCACACACACACACCAAATTAAAGTTCTTTTCTGCTCCTCAAAATATATTTCATTTATTCATTTAATGACTCTACCAGCAGATGTGCAGTTTTATTGTCCCACATTAAACACCAAACCTGCCATCATTTTTCTCTATCTGTACTTTTGTGATTACATTGCAACGTATTCCAACTGTGGTATAACTTGTGACATTTAGAAATATCTCAGTGTTGGCGTGACGTGACATGATTACAGGGTTGTGGCACAGTTCTAAAAATCAATTCAATGCTTTTCAGTCCTTTCAACCCATCAATAAAGAAAAATTAATATAATTTCCGCAACACAAGAGTTTAGAGTATTACAGAGCCACTTCTGGCTGGATATTTTTATATAGACTATCTGACTATTTTGAATTATATACACAATGAGATTTAGGCATTTTCTTAAAATGCAATACCTAGTAGTATTATATACAGTTCATGTGTCTAAATTTTAACATTTTTTAAAGACTTTTATGAGACTTTTTAAGGAATCCTAGACTCTCTGTATTAATTTAACACAATTTTGGAAGACTCATTTGCCTATGAGTGAGGCCAGTTGATATAGTGTTCAGCCCTACTTTGTACATTGTGAATCTTCATGCATTTGTAATTGTATATTTCAAAAATTCTACATAATTCAGTTGTTGAGATGGAAATTCAGAGTGATTTGATGTGAAATGCTCTGTTCTAGAGAAAATTACAGACTCTCCTTCTCTTTACAGTGGTGGTGATAGGAACCAGGGGTCACGATGTCTACGACACAGTATAGAGCCATTTTATTCATTACACAGTGAACCTACACAATGTTGATGATGGTGAAATAGTCACCAACTGTCAATAGTCATAGTCAAATAAAATTTATTTTGGGGACTATTTTTTCTTACGTCCCTGTACCCTCCGCCAAGAACAGATTTTAAAATTATGTTTAGGCCAAAAACATTTCAAAACTATCATAAAACAATGAGTGTGTTTACATGCACTTAATAATCTGATAACTGCAGAAAATCAGATTTTGTCAGTAATCTGACCAACACGTTTATATTCACCTGAGTAATCAGATAACGGGAAACTCCAGGTCCACATGAATCAGACAGAAATCGGATTTCTGCTTTGCAACCAGCCAATAAACTCACGGAAGACATGGTGTAAACGTAATGTAAAACTCAAATTTCATGGTGCGACTTGTTTTTTTGAACTATCGCATCACTTTACCTGAAAATATGAACAGACATCATCTAGAAGATGAAGAATATTTTAATCCTTCAATTCGTCAGGCATGTATTTGGTTTCAGCGTCGCTCCAAAAGTGTTTTGCTGCATCTCGCAGTAACGCTGCTTGCTTATTTCCGGTACTGCGGTCTGTTCTGCACATGCACAGACTGAGAAATCCGAAAGAAATCAGAGTAAGAGTTCACATGCACTGAGAAATCTGATTATTGAGCTAAAATCCAGCCTCTTTATCAAATTTGTTATTAGATTTCCAGACCTTAGTCTGATCTTAGAGATCGGAGTATGCTATTTACGTGACCATTTCAATAATCAGATAACTGCAGAAATCCGATTATGTTTGGAGTATTAAGTCCATGTAAATGCACTCAATGTCTCAGTCATCAGGCAGCACATTTATAACCATTTCATGTAATGACTTTCTGTGAGGGAGCTTTTAGCGGCATTAGGCTCTTCAGACGTCTGGTTCCTATCACCACCCTTTTAAACGACCTTACAAATCTCATGACCCAGTCAGTGCTGTGAAAAGAAGACGGAAAAACGAGCGCAAGCACACATACGTGCTCACGTGTGCATTCACGCACATGCACATGCGTGCTGAAAGGTCAATGTGATTACGGTGCAGGAGCAGAGGGCACCGCTGGGCGAAAGTAGATCAGAGAGACAAAACTGGCTGAGCAGTGAAGGACCCGAGGGGTAGAGAGAGAGAGAGAGAGAGAGAGAGAGAGCATGATGCTCACCCACTCCGCCAGCTGCCATCTTAAATTCACTGCCACAGCCCCCCGCTCCCCCGCTTCACACTCACACCATTTTGTGTTGCCATCTTTTCACATGCAAAACAAGCTTTGATAGTCTAATCACATGCATTCATAACAATAATACTATATGTAGATGTATTGCTCTCACTGGGCGATATAGGACAGTGCAATAAACGTGACATTGCTTGTACTGTTGATGCTGTGTTCCAATTATATCAGAGTCAGAATCCATACTAAACACTATACATTAAAAATGTTTTTATAATTAACTGGTTAATATGTAATAAACTCATTCAGAGTGGTTTAGTGTCTAGAGAAGCTTAAGTCAGAATTGTTCACAGTGGTGGTGATAGGAACCAGACATTTGCAAAGAGTTTAATGCATCATTGTCCAAAGTTGGCCCCTGAGGGTGTTTCATTTGGCCTGCCAGAAAGTTACCCTTGCCCCTTACCTCAACCCTACCAAAACTTCAGTTTTGTCATAACTCCATTTACATATGGGGTTGAAATGATTTCTACATCATTGCATTCTGTTTTTATTTACATTGTGCATGTTTTTGGAAACAGGGTTGCACATTTATGGCAGAGACACAAATTTGGTAAAATTATCCCCCAAAAAACTTTTTTTTTCAAATTTACCACCAATTTACCATCATTAACATTCCATATGAAAGCTCAGAAGACCCATGTAGGTTTGGTGGTTTTGGATTGTAAGTAAAATTATTTGGGTTGCAAATATTGTGACCCCTGGTTCCTATCAAAACCACTGACTCTTTAAATTTCTCTGGAACAGAGCATTTCACATCAAATCACTCTGAATGACTAGAATTCTGCAGAAATTTCAAAAAATGTGTGGAATTATTTAATATATTCTCAAAGATATAACTTTATGGGAGAAGGGAAAAGTGTTCTTACCTTTAAAGTTCATTAATCTAACAAGATTTTTTTCTAGCTATTTTGATCATTTCTATTTGTCCATTCATCATAAATTGTTCACAAAGTGCAACTGGCATTTACAAAATATAAAAGGAATGTTTTTTTAGGTTTGTTAGGACACTCACTGTGTAATATGTAGAATAATCCAACATACAAACTAAGAATGCACGTTAGTGGTCACTATAGTGCCACACCGACAAGGAGTTGGCAGGAAAATTGTGGAAACATGGTGGAGGATGAGTTGTGGGCTCCTACAATGGCCTCAAAAATTAGTGGGTTTCCAATTTTTTTCCTTTTTTTCCTCTTTTCTTGAACTTCCAAGATAGCCAACAAGTTTGCAGCTTGATGTGGCTTACGTTGGCATAGCAACATTACTTCTTCACTTTTTTTAGTACGACACGGTCCAGTGCAGGAATATTTTGCACACTAGCATTCCAGAATCGGAGATTATCACATATGTAGTATATACCTTAGTATACAGTTAGTTTCGGCCATGCAAGCTGATTGGTTGAGAGGCGTGTGCTGTCTAACCGTGCTGTTATTTCACCATAACATCACATTTTTTTCACAAACACTGTATCACTCTGCTGAGACGCCGTTGCTAAGCAACGACTTTGACAGCTGTAGGAGACGCTCAAGCCCTTTGAACGTTTTTACTTCTTACTTTGCCACAAACAGAAAATGGACACTTCCAAGATCACATTTGACCGACGGCCGATTTGGTCAGACTCTGAAGATGAGACGACACTAAATTCCCAAACTGTCATCACCACTGAGCAGCTTTTCAGTCGGCAGCTGTGACAGAACAACAGCTAAACAACCTGGAATCAGCCAGAAATGAACCCAACACCATTCGCCAAACTAAGATGTAAGATGCTTTACAGACTGGCTGGAACAAAACGACATTAATACTGATCTAGAAACTGAGCTAAACTTGATATTGCGGCGGTTTTATGACTCGGTCTGTACTAAAAGGTGAGGCAGCGAGTGGGCGGAGTTCGTTACTCTGATGTAGCAACAAGCTGCTTGTTAAGGAACTATAATTTGGCGGAAACTATAATTAAAACTACATTAAAACATATTAAACGCCGCGTTCACGGCCCAGTTTATTTATTTCTTACTTTATTTATTTAACTGTTGTATAAAAGCAATAGAACACTCGAGATCATGTGTTATCATGCGTTTAGGCTTCTGAATGGCTGGTGGTTCATGTTTCATCTGATTGTATCCATCTATCTTGTTGCTGGTCATCTTCTTCCTCTATTACCTCAAACTCTGCCAAACATAACAGTCTTTTCCAGTGAACTGGTCCAGAATATCTCCAAAAACAAGAGCTTCAGTTTGGTCATCAGGGCTCTGAGTGAGAGGTGTGGCTTGATTCTTTTCAAAAAATCAATTATTTGTCTTCTTTGCCGTCCAAAGTTCTCTAAAAAGGCTTTGCCAGCACCAAAGTTCAAAATCATCAGTATTTTTCCCATCAAGCTTTATTTGTTGTCCAGCTTTCACATCCCTAAAGAACCACAGAGGGGACCACAGCCTGGACGATACTGATCTTAGTTTGTAGAGATGAATCACTGCATTTAAAGATCTTTACAAGCTCCTTCATCCTTGTTCTGCCAAGTGCTGAACATCTCTTGATTGCTGGATCCTCTGTTGTTAATAATTGACCTGAGAAGGCAAAAGCTGTCTATCATTTCCACATCTTCACCATCAATCCTGAAGTCTTTTCTGTTGTCATGAGTTTTTAGTCTTCTCCATTCTGAGCTGAAGTCCCATCTTTTCACTCTGTTCTTTGACTTTTCCTTATAAGGGCCTTCGGGTCTTCCAGATTTCCGATACGAGTGTTAAGATTAGATGGCCAATAATGTACATCTTATTGGATTTTATTCTTCTCATGAAATCTGTTTATAAAGTTGGCTTTAATGTGCTGAAGCAGTCATAATTCATTTTTACCTGACCATTTTCCAGCCTCTGTTTATGCCATAGAATTAAACAGGCTCTTTTTGTTACTGT